GCTTCGGTCCCACTTGCTGTAGACTCATTCTGTAGCCCTTCATCGTCAGAAGGGTCTGCACCAAGCTGCGGACATCCAGATCTCAAGGTTGGGGAGCAGTTGAACAGGGTCCAACAGCCCAACACGAAGCTCTCTGCAATGTCAGCCAAGGGAAGACGCAAGGCCCCACTTCAAGCTCGTCTGGGCACAGTAGAGGAGAAGCAACGGGGTGCCCTTTACGAGGGCACCAGCTACTGACCTAACGAGGACCCCAAGAAGGTAGCCCTAATTTCGAAAACTCCGCTTCAAAAGGCTACCCATGTGCACAGCGCAGGTATGATGCGGCAGGCGGGTCGGGCGGTCGGTGTGGCATGTCGCTGGAGACGGGGTGAAGATCATCGCCCCCAGAGGAGCATTCTTCACATGCCGAGCTTCGTTTCTCGCGCCTCTTCAGCTGCATTCTTGCACTCAGAGCCACGCAGTCGCGGCCATGCCATCTGTGACCCTGTGATGTTCATGTCTCCCCTGTCTCTCCTTCAAAGCACCGCGTGCAACAGGGAGCTCCCAGGTGGGCGCCGCTTGCTGCTGACCATGCCCAAACGGAGCCCAGCTGCTGTGCGGAAGTTTGTGAAGTTTTGGGAGGTTTAGGGTTTATTTAGGTCGGGTGTTTTAAGGTTGACAGGGTTGATTAGGGTGTAGGGATGTGTAGGGTTTAGGGCCCCTGCGATGCACAGCCCTGTGTCTAACGAGGGCACTTGAAGCGGTAAGGTGTGACAGTTGCAGGCACTCGTGCCCGGCAGCACGACTTCTGTCGCGTTTGGGCTCATGAGAATTGATTTGGTAAGCATGGAAGCACTTCGGCCTTCACGAATCGTGCCTTGCGCACGGAATTTGCACCTGCTTGCATGGAGCAAGGTTTTGGACAATCGCAGCCGCGCCCACTTGCTAACGCAGCTTTGATTTACAGGCAGGCGATCTTAGATGCCAAGCAAAATCTGGCCAACGGCCGCGACAGCTGGCGCTGAGGTGGTGACACTCGCGTAGTCATGCTGGAGGAGCGAAAGCAACGGAGTGTGTGAGAAAGCAGTGTCAGGTTTTTGTTTGACGTGAAAACTTCTACTATGGCTCGGTCATGAGCTCTCTGTGTTCTACAAGGCTGCCGCCACCCCTAAAAATCCGCGCTGGATTCGCTTTGCCCTACTTGTGCAAGCCTAAAACTCCTCTAGGCACCCTCATCCACGCACCTACGCGTGAGGACGCTTTGCATCAGGCTGAGGTGCAAGGAGAGCATCGTGTCGGGACGGACTCCTGCGAGCAGGCCAAAAAATCATCCTAACGAAGCACGGTTTAGGGTTTAGGGTTTAGGGTTTAGGGTTTAGGGTTTAGGGTTTAGGGGCACGGCAAAACAAGCTGTTGCAAACACATGGCAGGGAGGGCTTTGTGAGATTGCTGTCTCCTACATGGAGGGTACCATCGCGAGGATCCTCGCAAGGTGGGGGGGAGGGGAGACGGGTTCAGCAAGCTTTCCTGCAATCATCATGTAGAAAATTCAAGCAAGCGCGCAGCCGAACCTGCCTGTCGCAGCTACCTTTGTGTCATCCGGCTGTCGTCATCATGCCTCGGCAGTGGCACTGAGTGCAGCGCTCCGCAAGACACACCCTGCCGGCAGCAAGCAAGCCCCAACAATCCCTACCACCCTCATGTCCCATTCTTTGGCAAACCCGATTAACCCTATCCCTCGCAATGTTCCTCTTATACGAACAGTCCTTGATACGGATTATCATGGGGGTACTGTTAATTCCGATTAAAGGACGGGTAGTATAAGGGGGGAACATCCCAACCTCTCCCTTTTCCCGTGCTAACTGCAAGGCAGAGCTCCCAAGCCAAGAATCGGGTGCCCCTTGCGAGCGCCCGGCCGCCTGCTGAATGGGGTTGAGGGGCTGTTTAGGGTTTAGGGCTTAGGGTTGTTTAGGGCTTAGGGCTGTTTAGGGCTCAGGGCTGTTAGGGGTTAGGGCTTCGGGCGGTTTAGGGGTTAGGGCTTGGGGCTGCTTAGGGCTTAGGGCTGTATAGGGAGTGGCATCGAGGAAGGTTCCCCAGTTCTACGAGACTCTCTGAGAGTTTCTTCGAAAGATAGGTACCCTTTGTGGTGGTCCTTTTGAACGGGGATTCTACTCAGTTTGGGGGTTTTCGGAGAGACCTATCTCGCACAGTTTGAGAACCTTGAAACCCTAAACCCCTGAATCTCTTCGCGGACACGAAGCCCCCATCCCAAACATCCCGTGGTTTAGGGTTTAGGGTCTTGGTAGGGAATGAATGAGGTACCCTAGCAAAGGGAAAGGGGAAAATAAGGTACCCATGATTCTAAGAGCCCTAAACTCCCTAAACTCCCTAAACCCCTAAAACCCCTAAACTTCCGAAACCGCAAGATTTGGGGTTGAGGTGCAGGGTCTTTAAGGTCGTTTCGGGTTTAAGGTTTTAGGATACGAGTGGGAGGTGCGTGGCCTTGGAGTTGTCAGGCGGAAGCCATGGCGTGCTTTCCTACAGGGGGCCTCTCCAGTTTGTTTTGCTTTGCTTTTGTTTGGGGGTGGGGGGGGAGCTTGGGGTTTGGGGGGGGGGTTTAAGGTCCGAGGGTCTGAGGGTTTCGGGCCTAAGGCAGGGAATTTCGGAGGCTTTCGGGGGTGAGACTGGGTCGTTTGGGTAGTTCAGATGCTAGGGCTTAGTAGGGTTTAGGGTTTAAAGCTGTCATGCCCTTCTCTGCAGGCGACTGTGCTTGCAGATGGGAGGAAAGTCCAATTCCTCCTCCGTCGGATCTTCGCCGGAGCTTGAGCCAAGCTCAAGTATCATGCCTGACCTCCCCAGTACCCTGCTCTCTTCAGCTGAAAAAAAACTACTAAAACCATGTGCCAAACACAAGAACAAGAGTGACACCAACGCTACCCTCACCTTGGATGCCTCTGCGCTCAGGGGCGCGCCGCTGTGGCTCCGAGCGTTTTGACCGCACATCAGGCAGGAAATCGAGTTCATCTGAGGCAGCGTTCAAACTCCCGAGGCTCAGCTGGTCTCACAGAGGGCACCAGGGGAGAACCCTCACTCGGAGCTTCAGATGGGTAGCGGTAAGGTAAGGCCGTAAGTACCCCTCCCAAGAAGTGTCTTTGCAAGCTCTATTTGCCCTACGTATGGGGGTTTTCCGAGATTACAGGTACCTTATCGGCGGCCCCTTTTTATAAGGGAATCCTACTATTTGGCGGCTTGCTTTCGTGTTCTCGATTTTCGTAAAGTCCCATGCAACCCCAGCTACCACTTACCCACTGCAGGGAGATGGCACTAAACCCTCAAAGCAGCTGAGAAGGCTCTGAACCCTGAGAGAGCGGACCAACCCAAACCCGACAAGTAAATAAAGGGAGCGGAGCACCCTCAAGGGACTCAACCCAAAGGGTGATGAGAAGTGGATGAAAGGGGAGATAGCGCCCGATTCCCCAAAAATGTGGAGTTTGGGAGGCAAGCTCTCAAGTGCCTGCAGAAAAAGTACTAAACTGCTAGGCAGCCCCCCGCATCATGCCCCGAGAGCGCGAAGTCACAAGCGATGAAGTCACAAGTGGCCAGACACCGAAGATGCAAGTGATAGTCGTCGTAAAGCCGTAACGGAACAATGATTGCAACCGCAGTGGCAGCAGGACAGCGTAGTCAACAACCATCATCAGGATGAGGCAGGAAAACCCCACCGCAGTTCCTAAACCCTAAACCCTAAACCCTAAACCCTAAACCCTTGCAGATCAGATCTTTGAGGGAGGCCGGAGGTGTGCGGAAGCCCAAAAAGGCCGTTAGCTCATGCGAGCTCCATACGCACAAGGGAACAACAGCTGCAAAAGGAGTGTGGAGGGCTCCAAGTTGCCTCGCTCGGAAACTTCAGGGCGCAGGGTTTAGGGTTTAGGGTTTAGGGTTTAAGGTTTAGGGTTTAGGGTGCAGGTTTTGTATGGTTGTACATCCCGTCCTTTTCTCCTGAGCTCCATGGCTTGGGGTCTGAGATGTCATGTCTTGGAGTGTTTAGGGGAGGTCCTGCTAGAGAAAGAAACTTGGATGCCGGGGGAAACAGCTGCCCGCGGACGGCGGGGCAGCTTGTTAGTTTGTTATTGTTCGCGCTCTTCTTGCTCTTCTTGAATCGTGGTTTAGGGTTTAGGGTTTAGGGTTTAGGGTTTAGGGTTTAGGGTTTAGGGTTGTGTTCCGCTTATGATTTCTTCACGATTCTTAGGCATCCTGGGATCTTCTTTGATCATGAAATCAAGACGTGCGCGCCCTTGCCCCGTCAACCTAACCTTTGCAGATTGCTCCCCGGCAGCAGGATCCTTGTCGTGGGACGTCTAAGGGATCTAACCCTAAACCCTAAACCCCAAACCCTAAACCCTGCACCTACCAAATTTGTAGTGCATCTCTGCGAGAAACATTGCTCTAGACCCTTTTGGAATTGCTTCGGGTTTCCATTACCTTGGATCTCGAGCGCCTGAAGCCCTCCGCTGCAATGGTCAAGTGTCCATCAAGACGTCCCAAAAGCGAACAAGCCCCACATGACATTGGTCTTGCAGCAGTTTCCCAAGGTGGCCCCCAAAACCACATCCATCACTTCCCAACAGTGGAGCCGAGCAACTTGTATGGAAGCAGGCTCCGCGTTGGCGGCCCAGATTCTGGCCACAGGGGGGGCTAAAGAGCAGCGAAGTTTCTAAGCTTTCGTCTGAGAAGCCACAAGGCCACGCCCCACTGCACACCCTGAGGCTAAAATGTCATGCTTCGAGGCCATACACTGATGCCTGACGCACACCCCCATAACCTTCAGGAAGGTCTGAGAAATTCGGGACACAGGGCTTGCGTTAGTCGTCGCTCTGCCACTACAATGGCCAAAGCGCATAGGAGTGGAACGGCTGGCAGGGAGGTTCACCCAACACGCTTTTCTCCATCGCCGTGCAAAGGAGCGCACGTGCTTTCATGAAGGGACGCTCGGCTCGATGCCCTCACTCTCTGTGTAGCTATCATGCGGGTAAGAACCACTCAGACGACAACAGCTGTATGAAGCATGCCAGCCAGAAGGTCACACAGATGGGCACAAACAAGTATTGGATGAAGATGGCTGTGGCCATTCCTTCCTTGGATTGGCCTCCACTCTGTGCCATCACAGACACGTTATTTGCGGTGGGCGTGCAAGAGACCACCTTAGTTGTCCAGTATCCTAGGGGAACTAGTTTTCATTGGATTGATTGCATAGGAGATCATAGTGCCCCACAGAGGATAAAGGCCACCAGCTGTACTGCGAAGCCACAAGAGCGACCAGCCAGAGCGAGAAGTCCTTCGTGGGAACGATGCGGATGAGGCCGTACACGATGCACACGACCAAGGCAGGCCTATACTCCCCTTAGAACCTTATTTAAAAATATGATCTTTAATCTCCTCTAGGGTTTTATATAAACAAACTCGGAAATCATTCCCACGGGGGATATAGAGGCATGAGGATCAGCTTGCTCAACGCGATGGCCAGGCCGACGCGCGGGGGGAGCGCCTTGAAGTCGGCGCCTTTCGCCAACGAACTCCCTAGGAGGAGTAGGTTCCTTGGTAGCCCCAAAATAGAAGACACCGAATATACCAAATAGCAGGATTCCCTTTGAAAAAAGAAGGACCCCAATAAGGTACCCTCTACATGCTGAAGCCGCCCTATCACAATAAGGCTAATAAGGCATCCCCTTTTTGGGGTTGGCTACGTGAGAGGCGAACCTTGAGAAAAACAGGGCACAAGACTATATAATACTATATAATGCTATATAATGCTATATAATGCTATGTAATGCTATATAATACTATATAATACTATATCATACTCTACAATACTATGTGATAGAACCTTGAAAAACAGGGCACCAAGGGGGTTTTGGGCTAGCAAGGCTCACAGGCACTGCTGCATCCCCAAGTTTGTAGATGCCGGCATAAATCCTTGGTTGCTGAGTTCATAAGCCCAGGGTTTAGGGTTTAGGGTTGAGGGTTGAGGGTTTAGGGTTTAGGCACCAAAAGTGCCACAGACAGTTCTATAAGGGAATTTGTGGTCTCCCAAAAAGTGTAGAAAGTGTACTCAAAATTCGGCTACTAAGAATCCACTGGATTGGGGCGTCACTTTTGTGGTCCCTGAGGTCCACCAGCCATCCACGAACGGGTGTGAAACCTATCAGTAGCCCCAGGAGAGCGGCCAGTACGGGTGGCACCAGGGCTTTCCTTACTTCTCCAATCGCCAAGGAAGGAAAGAAGGTTCAACTTTGGTATTCCTACTAAGGAAACCCAACAAGTTTAAAGTTCAGCCAAGGGTTTAGGGTTTGGGGTTTAGGGTATCGGCAGAGTAAGTCTCTCCATGACGAGGCGGAGCTTCGCGAGGAGGACGGCCGTGTAGTGCTTGCGCTCTGAGCCCAATGACACCTCCTCGGGGTCCTTGTCGCTCTCCGCCTTCTCGCTGAGGAGCCTGAACTGCATGCCCTTTGCGTGTTCGTGTTCTCTTGCATCGCTCTGAGTGAGCCTATTTGGGGGTTTCCCAAATTAGCGGTGCCTTATTGGGGTCCTTTTGAAAAAAGGGATCCAACTATATGGGGGACGATATTCGGGGTCCCTTATTTTCGTAAACTCCTATTTGGAGACGCCGCTCTAGGAAGGCCCGACGTGGTCCAGCTTATTTCGGCAGACTTCGTTCGGTTTAGGGATGTTTAGGGTTTAGGGTTTAGGGCTTAGGGTTTAGGGTTTAGGCACACCCCCCCCCCCCCCCCCAATTCAACCAAGGAGCCATGAACCAATGCTCCATTGAAGGAGTGGGTTCAGCATCAAGTAGACGGGCAAGTGCTGCAATGGGTCCAGCTTCTTCGTAGACCTGGCGTACCACCACGCTCTGAAGGGCCGCGATCTCTATTACAGAAACCTCAACGCAACCTTTAATCTTTAATGCAAAAGAATTGACAGTAACAAAAAGAGAGGAGACACAAAACATGCCAAACACTGGCCATGGGTACGGGGCGAGGAAGGCCGCAGACTGTGAGATCACGGTGAGCAGGACGATGGGGAGGCCGGTGGAGTTGCCGAAGGCCACGGCACAGATCGTGCCTGTGGCGAAACTCGGAGGTGCACCGGTCAGAAGAGCCGTCAGCTTCCCCAAAATGAGCCCAAGGCCCACCACCTTAGGTAGCCCAGTAGCCAGATGATTCATAAGGGTACCCTTTTTGGGGTTGGTTGCTGTATAAGGGAACCTTGAACCAAAAAAGGGGAAAAGGGGTGCCAGTGGGCGACCTCGCCGCTATAAAGGGCAGTGGGATGAGGATCCAACTGCTGCGAAGAATTTCGGCGAAGGGGCTGCAAACCGGGCACTCCTGCGAGTGCTGGTCATTGCACTGCTCGCAGTAGATGATCCGCGTGAACCTATACTCCCCTCAGAACCTTAATCAAAATAATAAATTCAATATCCTCTTGGGTTTCAAAAAAACAGCAATAAAAAAACAATTCCCGAGGGGATATAGGAACAACAGGGCTGGGATCAAGATCTTCATCGAGATGTCTGCCAGGGACTTTTGTGCTGCTGGGGGGATGATGCCAAAGCGGGCGCCAGCAAACCCGGCAGCCACGACGGTCAAAGAAACTCCCACGGCGCGGAAAGCTGCAGTGAGCACAGCATTGGAAATCAGCCACGCCTTTGCAGAAGTCGTTTGCTCGTGGTTCGCGCTGCCAATTTTGCCGAGTCGGACGGCTTTCATGACCGTTGCATTGAAGCTTTCTTCCCGGGCTTCTCCCTCTGCGGCGGTTGTGGCGTAAGCTGTAGCACCTTGCTCCGGATGCGTCTTGATCGCAGCGCATGCGCAGAGGAGCACCCAAACACCCAACACATGCCGCATCGCTTCAGTGAACCTGACAACCCAGGAGCATGCTGAGTCGAAGAGGGGGTGCGGAAGGTCGCTTGGGCCTTCACGCACTTACGGGCATCAGCTTCCAAAATTCCAAACTGATGTACCCTAAACCCTAAACCCTAAACCCTAAACCCTAAACCCTAAACCCTAAACCCCAAGCTCTAAACGTCATGTTTGGCTTGCACTCAAGAGCCCCACAAGCAAACCTCCAGGAAGCTGTCGGCCTGGAGGCCCGAGGGGTACGGCACAATGTCAAAGAACTCCTCTTCAGGTTTACTTTAGGGTTTTAGGGTTTAGGGTTTTAGGGTTTTAGGGTTTTAGGGTTTAGGGTTTAGGGTTTTAGGGTTTTAGGGTTTAGGGTTCATGCCCTTTAACTTGGAGGTTCGGGGCGATTAGTAACCAATTCTAAGTGTAGTTATATCCCACATATGAGCCCCTTAGGCACCCGAATAGAGTTATAGCTGGGTTAGAAGTGCTGTTATAATTGGGTTACTAAGTACCATGAACCTCCAAGTAGAGTTTAGGGTTTAGGGTCTGTAATCTGTCATGTAGAGCTCTGTATAAATGAAAGCCTGGTTGGCATCCAAGCGTAAATGCTCAAAGATCTTTGGGGCTTCCGGTCGGAAAGCCTTCATAAGAAAAACGTACCCTAAGGCCGGTATGAAAGGCTGGAGAAGCCCCAAAGAGTTAACGGGTGTTTGGCTGGTTTTAGGGTTGTAGGATTTAGGCTTTAGGGTATATACGGTTTTTAGGGTTTAGGGTTTATGGGTTTATGGGGTTATAGGGTTGTAGGGTTATAGGGTTATGGGTTTAGGGTTGATGGGGCCGCGGCCTCTACACGAAATCCAGACAGCATGCGCAAGAAGCGTGGAACCCCAAAAACCAAAAGAGTAGAGGGAGGAATAGGACTTGGGCTTGAAGGGCTATATCTAGGTTTAGGGTTTTGGGTTTGGGGTGTTTTTCTACTCTGGTTCCCTCATTGAAACCGATCTATCTCCTGATCCAAGACCCTTGTCGATCTCAAGCCTACTACAAGCCCGCAAATAACACCCGCAAAGCCTAAAGTACCTCAACACCAAGGGCCAGACCCGAAGCCGAAAACCCGGAAGGCTAAACGGTGCGCGAGCTTCACATGCTTAGGGTTTGAAACGGTCAGGCAATGGCTCCGTTAGACTGTCCGCGTCGTGGCGACCGAGGTTGCGGGCCTCGCAAGAGGTGCCAGAGTGGACGACTAAGGTTTTGAGGGTTTAGGACATAGGGTTGAGTGCTTATCTTTGGGCGTTCTTGCTTTCTGAAGCTTAGAGAACTCCGGACCCTTCGAACACGGAGCCAACACACAGCAAACCCCATACTGAACCCCACAACCTTTCGACATTTCGGGCTCTGAAAAGCTGCAGTAACTTGGGATGTTGTCCTTCACCGGGATTTTAGCAACCCCTACTATAATCCCTATTAAGGACTGTTAGTATAAGGGGGAACATCCCAAGCCGTAACCATATTGTAATAAGGGTACCCTTCTTTTTGAATGTGGTGACTGTAGAAGGGAACTCAGAACCAGAAAAGAGGTAAAGGGTACCACTGGCTACCCAGAAAATTTGCTGAAACCCGTGCCCCTACCCCCCTAACAGTAAATACTCCCGTTACAGTTATATTCTAGTAGATGGGGAGTATTTCATATTAGGGGTAGGGGGGGGTTCAACTTTTTGGGGAGGGGATTAACCCTAAACCCTAAACCCTAAACCCTAAACCCTAAACCCTAAACCCTAAACCCTAAACCCTAAACCCTAAACCCTAAACCCTAAACCCTAAGCCTCTGATGAAAACTCTGCTCACTCCGTGGGCCGACACGAAGGGAGCGACACCAAGATCGTCTCAACTCGTAGAAGACTTCATCCCTCGCCTGCCCTTCTGTTTAGTTTGGGGTTTAGGGTTTAGGGTTTAGGGTTTAGGGTTTAGGGTTTAGGGTTTAGGGTTTAGGGTTTAGGGTTTAGGGTTTAGGGTTTCTCCGGAAGGCTACACCCCAAGACGTGCTTCAAGGTCCATGGCGTTTTAAAAAGCAGGGCTACATGTACGTCAGCTGAGGCTTGTGACAAACGGCAGACACGTGGTCCGTCAACGTGAGCCCTTAAATGAGGACCCCTTGTATACCCCTTACAAAACCCTAAAAAAACTCTAGGGCCCATACTTCAGAACCCTGTAGAGAAGAGAAGGGACGGAAAGCCATGAACCTGCGAGCGGGCCTTTGTCAGTACAGCAGGTTGCCTTTGAGCTCAGGAAGCCTTGAGCCCAAACCCAAAACCCTGAACCCCGAACCCTACATCCTTTATGCATCCAGGCCGTAAAGTCTGAACCCTGACCCTGCAACAAACCCAAAGCCTGAACCCTGCAGCTTAAACCCTGATCCCGACCCTCGGCCTTAAACCCTAAACCCGCAAGAAACCCTATGAACCCCAATCGCATAAACCCTTAACCCTTCACTCTGAAGCCCTAAACCCTCATAACCCTCATTATTGCCGGCCCCCTCCCCTCCCCCCCTCCAGGTGCCTCGCGCAACGTCTGTCAAAGCCATCGGAAGAGTGGCATGTAGCTCGTTTCCTGTGGGACGGGCGTGGGGTTTCGGCTTAGGGTTGAAGAATGTAGGGCTTTTCATGTTGAAAAACCCCTAAGGTTTCGGGGGTTTCGGAGTTGAGGAGTGAAGTCTCTCACTTCCCTGAGCCTCTTGCCAGGCTTGCGACATTTCGGCGAAGGGTCCACTTGTGGCCCTTTCAACCCTGATAAAAGGTGAAGAGATACCCTAAACCCTAAACCCTAAACCCTCAACCCTAAACCCTAAACCCTCTGCAAGCCGCTTCCTTTTCTTCCTGGGAGTGCCTTCTTCTGCTGATGCGTAAGTCCGTGGTTACGACTCAACAGGCGCCGCGTTGTTTGAGTTCTGTACATGTCCCGCAGCCTGCTTGGTCTCCCATTCGGTGGATGCTGTTGTCGGGGCATTTGCAGCATACATATCCGGCCGCAGCATCTTCCTTGCGGATGAAGGACCCTCAACAAGAACCCTGGCCCAAACCCTTTTTTGCAACAGGCTTCGCGCCCTAAACCCTAAACCCTAAAACCCTAAAACCCTAAACCCTAGACCCTAAACCCTAAACCCTCAGCCCTAAGCCCTAAACCCTTATCCCGGGTTCTACTAGTAGCGTCGGGGGTGGATGTGTAGTAGGGTTTATGTTTCTTGTATCCCCAAAAGGACACCAGGTATATACACTCACCAATCTTAAAAAGGAACCTTATATACACTCACCAATAACAGTGATATACACCCTGCTTCAAATGTCATCCCAGGTGTGTAAACGGCTTGGGCCGAGGGCCGCTTGCGGCGTACCCGGTATTTCGGGCGAGTGCTGAGGGGTTTATGGGGTTTATGGGGTTTATGGGGTTTATGGGGTTTATGGGGTTTATGGGGTTTATGGGGTTTATGGGGTTTATGGGGTTTATGGGGTTTAGGGTTTAGGGTTACAAGTAGCACAAGGGTTTAGGGTTGATGATAGGGTTCCTAAGGGAGGGAGCTTCGGGAGCCTTAAGGATTAGTGGGGAGTACTGAGGAAACTTGGGTTAGATACCCCCCTTGAACCCGCCCCTCCTTTAGAACCCCTATAAGTTTAGGGTTTAGGGTTCAGGGTTTAGGGTCTATCTGTTGCCAAGGTTCCAGGCTCTCATGTTGGCCATGGTGCTCCGTCACGTCTTTGTCGAAGTTCTCTTTGGTGTCCTCGCCGCTTACGTTTTGAACCCTAAGTACCCTAAGAACCCTAAGCAAAGATGACGAGCCTCTCTGTTCGTACCATGACTATAGTAAGCTGATCTATCGGTTCTCCTTGCAGTTTTCCGCTCTATTCTACCCGCGTTTCAAGGAGAGACTTACCTGCGCCGACGCCTCGAATAAGGCCCTTTGCATCAGAGGCCACGGCTACGGTGATCCTAGGTCTTAATCGTCCCCCCAAGACCCTGAAACCGCGAACGTAAGTACTGAACCTTGAAAACCCCAACGCCCAAACCCAAGAACCCTAAGTCCGAACATACGAAACCCTGATGACCCGAGAGGTTTTTCCCACCTTTAGAGGCCCTGAGGCCTGCCCGACGTGCAAGTCCACGAGGTGCACCTGCTCATACTCGTCGTTCCGCATGGCCCCAGCGCGAGATGTGAGATACAGCGACATGGCCGCGAAGAGCACTCGATGCATCATCTTGGATATGGCAAGCGATGGCGCAGTTGGGAACGCTGCAAGACGTCTACTGCTCGAGCCATGCAGATGTGTGGTCTTGCCTTGCAGCTACGAGCCACCCTCCAAAGTCTAAGTATTCAAACACCTAGCGGCTGCCTGACCGCACAACTCATGCCTTGACCCTCTACAGCTTCGCGCACTTTCAACCCTAAACCCTAGGTCAGCTCATTGATTCACTAAACCCTGGCAGAAGAGCCAAGCCCTCATCGTCTAAACACCAGGACATTATCATACAGCAATGATTCAAGGACCACACGCCAGGAAAGGCAAAGGGAGAGGGAAGATCAGTGCCCCAACCCTAAGCCCTAAACCCTTTTGGAGCAATTGCCGGCAAACATGCAACTTCTCAGACCCTAAGCCCTAAACCCTTAACCCTACATCCTAAACCCCCATGAGAAGGGGATCGGCATGATAGCAGAGGCTAGAGGCAATGGACGAATCCAGGCGCCCAGCCTCCTTGCTCAAGTCCGGCAGCACGCAGCAGCGGCCAAGGGTCTGAGGAGGGATGAATCAAGGGACCTACTTAAGTACATAGAGATTATATAAGGTACACACATATACATATATAGTTAGGTACATAGGGACTATATAAGGTATATATATATATATATGTACATATGTATATGTATATGGGGGTTAGACATGGGTTAAATAGGGGAAACAGATTAAGGGCTCCTTCTAGGGGTCCCTCCTTATGGGGATCTTTGGGCTTACATTCACCCGCTCCCGGAATCTGTGCATCTGGGTAGACAACCCTGAAGCCTGATCCCGTTTCCTTTGCTCCGTGCGGACGGTCACGTCACCTAGGCACCGAGTAGAGTGCATTTAGGCTTGTTCAAATGATTCTTTCTTCTTAAGTTGCCAAGGCACATCCATATAGCAATGAGCACAACTCTCCCTTGCGAAACGTCTAGACGGATCGGCCCGGGCCTCTGTATAGGAAGAGTGCTCACGTGTCCGGGCCTTCCCAAGGATAAGCACACGTCAACTTTCACCAATTCGTAGCAAAGATCACACTACCAGGATGGGTGAATACAGAATACACCCTCTAACCCCTCAAGAAGCCCCTTTATAGGGTTGAGTGTGGGGATGATAAGGCCGAATAGCCCATCCTGGTATACAGTCAGACCCCTTGGTTCTTAGCAGGCCATGAAGGAATTCGGGCCCTACGTATACCATGTAAGGGATTCTATTGGGCACCTCATTCCCTCCTTCCCTACCAAGAACCTCTACCCAAAATCCTACGCGAGGCAAAGAACCCTACACCCTACACGTCCCTTTTAGGGTTAGGTTTAGGGTTTGGGTTTAGGGTTTAGGGTTTAGGGTTTAGGGTTTAGGGTTTAGGGTTTAGGGTTTAGGGTTTAGGGTTTAGGGTTTAGGGTTTAGGGTTTAGGGTTTAGGGTTTCCTACCCCTAAAGCCAAACCAAGCCGAGGTCAGCGCTGGTGCTGCCTCCATGTCATCCTCCACCTGAGTCATGGCTTACTTGGAGGTACATGGTAATCAATTACAACTGTACTTATCAGTGTACTTATCACCATATTAGGGCACTTAAGGGGCTTATAAGCGGGTCATTATAAGTACAGTTATACTTGGTAAACAAATACCATGAACTTCCAAGTACTGCAGGGTTTACCTTGGCCTTAGTTACTTAGACTGGAGGACCCTAAACCCTAAAGCCAGCCAGCAGAACATGTAGAAAACCGTAGATCGGACCTTCGAAGCCGGAGGCGGGCCGGTCTGCAGAAGCCCCAAAAAGGGCTGTGAGCTCCGTAAGCACAGGGGCGGCAACAGCTGCGAATGGTGTAGGGTTTAGGGTTTAGGGTGTTTAGGGTTTATGCGGATATGCAGGGCTGCTTTCCTGCATACCATAGCTGAGCTACACGTTAGGGCTTGGGGCTTTGAGATTCTGTGCTTTTTGAGTTTTTGTGGGCTTATCAGCGGAGCTTCAAACCCCTCTCAGAGCCGATGCTGACTTTGACCCGGAAACTTCGCTGTGCTTTGCTTCCGCTTAGAGGGCTGTCTCTAAAGACCTTATGCCTGCGATAGCCCCCTCCCCTAATATCAAACTCCCCTCTGCCCCCTAATATTAAAAATACCCAGAGTTTTACTCTAATATAATGGGGGTATTATCTAACATTAGAAGGTAGGGTTTGTCTGGGGAGGATATTCTGGTCTTTCTCAGAAAAACGAGAGAGAGAGAGAGAGAGAGAGAGAGAGAGAGAGAGAGAGAGAGAGAGAGAGAGAAAAGGAGAAGCCAGGATAAGGACCGCACTCCCCCCTCTCCCCCGTTGCAGTGTAGCGGGTTGCTGCAAAGTTTAAGTTTCAGGATGTTCGGGATTTGAGGCTTCAGGGTTTTAGGACTTTCAGGGTCTGAGGGTTTGTGGGTTTTAGGTTTTGAGGTTGTTTTTAGGGTTTCAGGGTTTAGGGAATTTAGGGTTCACACCCAACCTTTTCAGAGGCGCGCCCTCGTCTCGAGAACCTTCTTGGCTTGCCCCGGCAGCAGCCGGATCCTTGCTCCCAGCTTGGGATCCTTGGTGGCCTTGGGAAGGCTGGCACAAAGCATCTGCCGCTTTTTGCGGCGCCTGCAAAAGCGCTCAGGCTGAAGATGAAACGCCGAAATGGATCGCAACCCCTCCTTGAGTTTCAGGGAGTGGCTGTGCAACAACGGGGTGGGGAGGGGGGGGGGGGTGGAGTTGGGCTGTTTGGGAGGTTTATCTCTGGTGTACGGAAGCTACAAACGCGCGCACAGACACACACACAATGCGTAAGACTTCAATGCTGGAGCTCTGCTGGGGCCATGGCATGTCAGAAGATATTTCTGGCGGGTGAAGGTGAGTGCTTGGTTCATGGTACTTAGTAACCCAATTACAACTGTACGTATAACGCAAGCATGACCCGATACTTAAGGGGCTTATATGTGGGTTATCACTACACTTATACTGGGTCACGGAGTACCCTGAAACCTCCAAGTCCCTAAACCCTAAACCCTAAAGGCCCTAAACCCTTATAGGCCCTACAACTCAAGGCGAGCGGACGCTGCGCAGGGGTGCGGGGCCGCCTCGCGCGCTTCGCTTGCGCGGCCTACGTAAGCATCGAACAGGCTGCAAATCGCACCCAGAGCAGGCAAGTGCGCCCACGACATGTGTAACGCGTGGCAACCACACCGACAAGTTCGAAAATGTTGAAACATGACTGCAGCAGAGATCAGGCCTTACTGACTACGATCGTTCCTCTTCGTAGCAACCTTCCCTTTATTACCATATGAAGTAGGGTATATATTTCTTGTACCCCCAAAGGGACACCAGGTATATACACTCACCAATATTAAAAAAAGGAACCTTATATACACTCACCAGAAACAGAAACATGTACCCTGCTTCATATAGTACCACTAGTCACTAGTCGAAACGGATGGCAACAGTCCCGGCTTTGGCTGCCCTGGCTCTTGGACGGAAGCAAGGCTGCTTCCACGGCGCATGTTGCGTGAGTACGCGGATGGGCCCGGAAATCAAGTGTCTGAAGTTGTGAGTTAGAGACCAGCGCCAGCTCCCTTCCCTTCCACGACACAGAATTGCAGGCATTTTGCGCCTTTGTCACTTTGAATATGCAACTGATGGTGAGGATACTTGTCTCGTTTTCTGAAATGTTCTGAAGGCATTTGTCCATGGCTGCAGGGACATCGTGACAACTGAGCAGATCATTGGTGCATCCAGCCGATTCCAGGTTTTCCAGCCTCCCCAGATGCTAGTGCTAAAGCCCTCTCCCTAAACCCTAAACCGTTAGAAGTCTGAGAAACTGCAGGCAGAAGCATGGAGCAGCGAACTCACGCTCAGCTGCCGCACATGTCGACGCCTGGCCAGCAAGGTGCAATCCAGCAGCCGTAGCCCATCATCTGTAGCAGAACGTACCACTCTCAAAAAACATGAGGCGATCATGCACATGATGTCACCATCGCCACCGACAGCACCATCGATGTCTTCAGCGTCACAGCGATCCATCGTCCCTGTCTTTCGGGCTTTGAAAAAACGGATCGCAGCAGCTTGCCGCACCACCATCTCCAAAGAGGAATTGCCCTTGCAACCCGTTGCCCTGTTACTTTCAGAGTGCCGGGGGAGATTCCGAGCCGAATCCCAATTTCACAAAAGACATTTCCCATAGCTGAACCCAGCCGACACAGCTCAAAGGTTGGGACGTGAAAGGCACGAACAGACAACGGTGCGAAGACAGAACGACGAAGGACACGCACGTACTTCTCGACAGTAGCAAGCAAATGCAATCACTCGCCATCATCGTCGCGCATCTCTATGGGTTGCCCGCGCCATCCCGTGCCGGATGCCTTGCCGCATCGCTCGCTTCGACCTTGATGGTTGAGTTTGCAGGATTACAATAGCAAGCTTCCATTTACGCAGTTCGGAAGGTGATGCTACAGGGGGGGGAGGGATCTTGGGAAAGAGGGGGGGGGTTCTCCATAATTAGGGAATAAGAATTACAGGTCCGAGGCTCGGCTTGGAGAACGCAGGATCCCTTTTGAGAACCCTCGGCGGTGCTTCGCCTACCCACGCAAACAACGAAGCCACACCTACCTGTCTCCCCTCCTGACATGAGATTGTAAAGCTAGTAAAGCTTCACGAAGAATCATTGGCATGTTCTCTCTTTTTAGGGGGTACTACAATCCCAAGTTAAGGACTGTTCGTATCAGTGGGAACAATGCCAAGTAGTCGGGCTTCCAAGGAACAAGCCATGGGCTCCATAGTACCATGGGGAAGCCCGTGCCCAAAACGGTTTGTTCCTTTTCGGCCCTTGGTTTAGGGTTTAGGGTTTAGGGTTTAGGGTTCAGGGTTTAGGGTTTAGGGTTTAGGGTTTAGGGTTTAGGGTTAGCTTCTCCAGCGCCAAGGGGCTCAAGACCCGAGAAGGGTCTCCTTCTCCGGGGCGGGCAGCGCCTCCCAAAAGGCGCGGATTTCCTCCTTGGCCTCCTCTCCACCTCGGTTGGGCAGCACAAGTCAGCACCCTAAACCCTAAACCCTAAACCCTAAACCCGGAGCCCAAAGAGGAGCCAAGATCCGGCTCCGTGGACCCAACCGACGTTTTTTTTCGACATGTCACCAGAAAAAAGGCGCAAACAACACACAACCTTGTCAAAATAACCTAATCCCGAAGCCGCCAAGAGGGAGAGGTGGCTTTCTTGCAACATCTCAGATTCGTCACTTGTGACATCTCCTGTTTTCGGCTACTATGTCTATGCCTCGTGCTCGTATTCTCCGAAAGCAAGTACAAGGAAGTACTACAACTAGTACAAGCAAGCCTTCTACTTGTAACATCTGCCTCTTTGGCCGGCGAAAAACAAAGAGGCAGATGCTACAAGTGATTTGGTGGGCAGGCCTCGAGCGGGAGCGCAGTTTCGGGTTTAGAGGGTTTAGAGCACAGGGCCTAGGGTTTAGGGCCTTCGGGGTTAAGGCTTAATGATAGTGAAAAACACCGCAATTTTCACCACATTTTCGGACTCCCGAAACATGAGATGTCACAAGCGACGTTCAAGTGACGATTTGTAGATGTTACAAGCGACCGCTCTCCAGGTCACCTGGGCCGGCAGGTGCAGGGCAACAAAACAACTCCTTTGAAAGGCCGACCAGCCCTCGTGCCCCTGGCGACCATCTGGGGATCCGGGCAAATTTCGTTCCCTTGCAGGTTAAGGTTGACCTTCCGAAGCTCCGAGAGCTGGCGAAGCCCGCCTTCCAGAGCTCGTGCCCCTTCCGGGCCTCGAGAAACATCAAGGAGGGTTGTGCTTGTGTGCGTGATGGGCTCTGCCGGCGAGGCAAGGGCAAGGGCCTACAGAAACTCCAAACCTGAGCCGAGCATCACCTACTTAGATGTGAAGGGCAAACAAACTGGTACGCTTCTTCTGCAGGCGAACCCCTCCCCCTCTTCCCAAGCCCACAATAAATACCGCAGGCCTTTCTTCAAATGCCGAAAACTTACGGAATATGGGAGCATAGAAAGAAGGTCACAACCAGGAATGCCAACTCACGAAATATAGCAGCACCCGAACCCAATTATAGGCTATATTGATAGACACCCATGCAGCACTCCGGTGCAACAACAGCACCCTCTGCAGGTCCACAAGATTTCGCCTCATGAGGGCGCTGAGCCGCTGGAAAGAGTTTCCCTTTGAAGCATCTCCGCAACGTGCCCTCTTGGTTCCCAAGCAGACACTGCGGATTCCGAGCCCGGCTGCAAGTGGGGACCCCCCAAAGTCAGCAACAAAGGAAAATGAACTCAGATCCAGCTACAGTATCTGTAGGCATCCTTATCACCTCACCACCTCATCCTCAAAGCGGAGCTGCCCAAAAACCGGAATCCCCAAACAATGCCCCGGAGTTCTGAAGAACCATGCTCCGCTTAAGGCCGCCGGACCCCCCGCTGTGGCCCCCGGCCGAGGCCATTGCCGAAAAGATCAAGCTTCACTTCCTCGAGCTTGGAGCACTGGCTCAAGCCTTCGCCCAGTGCGCGGGCGCCCTCGTCGCCTCAAAAAAGGAGCCAAGGGGAGGATCTTCGGAGGCCTTTGGGAAAGGGTCTCGAAGGCCAGCTGGTTTCATCGGGGCCTGGGGGGGGGGGAAGGACATGGGATCAGTTGCGCTCGATGTCGTCCCAGACCTCAACGTACCTCAACTTTCCGTGCCTGAACCCCGATGCTGTTGGGGGGGTTGCCTCATGGACATGTTGAAGCGGGTGCCTCGGAGTAGGGCCTGAAACTGAGCATGAGGCCTACGCTTGTGGCCCAAGCGGCGCGGTGCTGCTGTGCTTTCCTACACTCCTCAGAGGAAATCGTTCATTCATTCCTCCAAAAGGCCAAACTTCAGTCCACAAAAACTCTTCAGGCCGCCGAAGGCCCCAAGCACAAATCGACACATCTGGCACCCATCTTCTGGGAATCCGGGCAAATTTTGTTCCCTTGCAGGTTGAGGTCCACCTTCCGAAGCTCCGAGAGCTGGCGGAGCCCGCCGGCCAGAGCTCGTGCCCCTTCCGGGCCTCAAGAGACATCAAGGAGGGTTGTGCTTGTGTGCGTGATGGGCTCTGCCTACGGAAACTCCAAACCTGAGCCGTGCATTCCCTGAATAAACGTAAAGGGCAAAACCTGTACACTTCTTCGTCTCGAAAATATGGCAGCATAAAAGTTGCTCGCAACCAGGAATGCCGCCGATTTCTGGTGCCAGGTCAGCGGAGAAACAGAGTGCGCGAGATCACGAAATTTCGCAGCACCCGAACTCTATCATCAGCAATATTGATAGACACCCACGCAACAACCCCAGTGTCACAACCGCACCCTCTGCAGGTCCACCAGATTTCGCCTCATGCAGGGTGCTGAGCTGCTAGAAAGAGTTACCCTCTGAAACGTCTCCTCAACGTGCTCTCTTGGTTCCCAGGCACACTGCGGGTTCCAAGCTACTGGCTGACGGGGACCCCCCAAAGTCAGCAATAAAGCGCAATGAACTCAGATCCAGGTAGATGTAAGGCATGCCCATCCCCAAACGGAGCTGCCCAAAACCCGGAATCCCCAGCAAAGCCCCGAAGTTCTGAAATTCTCACCGCTCCGTCTGGCTCTCGTGGCTGCGGGGCATGCCACCCCTTCCGAACAGACATGGACGGACACTGCTTAACGTTGGGACCCCCGGCCGAAACCAGTACTCTCAAGATCAAGCTTCACTTCCTCGATCTTGGAGCACTGGCTCAAGCCTTCGGCCAGTGCGCGGACTCCCTCGTCGCCTCAGGACAAAAAAGAAGTTGACGCGAAAACCTCATCGGGGCTTTGGGGGGGGGGGGGGGGAGGGAGCAGTTGCGCTCGATGTAATCCCACGTCCTGTCCTCGTAGAAAATCTCTTTTTCAAAAGATGCCAGAAAGGCCGGATGCGCCCACACAAGACCTCAACGTACCTCAACCTCAGTGCCTGATTCCTGATGCTGGGGTTGCCTCATGGACATGTTGAAGCGGGTGCCTTGCAGTAGGCCTGAAAAAGAGCATGAGGCCAAGCGGCGAGGTGCTACTGTGCTTTCCTACACCTCTCAGAGGAAATCGTTTCATTAACTTCTCCAAAACAGCTGCCAAACTTCGGCACAAAAACTCGCCGGCATGCCAGAAACAAGCCTTGGGATCCTTCAAAGCTTCCAACGTTCATGGCTCAGGCTCACTAAGTCACTAAGGTCTGAGGCTCGCCCCCCTGGTACAGAAAACCTTCTGGGACACTTGCAATCAGAGCAGCATCCTGAAAAGAAAATGCCCGGGTTTAGGGTTTAGAAGTTTAGGAGAGTGTAGCCAGACGTAAAAGGAAGGCTGTAGAACGGTTACATTGGCATGCCCCCCGGGGTGCCCGCTGCAGACCACGGTTGTTCCTTGAGGTCTTCTCGCATTTGTTCGCAAAACGTCGTTCTCATTAGCAGGCGTCGCGCTCTTTCTCTGTCGGTTCTTGCGAACATGGATTCTCATTGCGGCAAGCTATTGAGGATTCGCACGTCAGGCCTCAAGCTCATGAAGATTCAAGGAATTTGAACTTCTGGGCTCACGAAATGCGCATCTCTCGTCGCTCTTTGTTTGACGTCTGCGCTGGCCATGTAAAGAGTTCCCCCAAGCAGCCCAGGCACCCTATCGCTTCGCCCACACCCCCTGGCCTCCCCCTGCCCCCCATGGACCCAAACCCGAAGCCATTTCTTCTGTTTCAGATTCAGCGGATCATGCCCATCCCCAAACGCAGCTGCCCAAAACCCGGAATCCCCAAACAAAGCCCCGAAGTTCTGAAGAACCACCTCGGACGTCTGGCTCTTGTGGCTCCGAACAGACATGAACAGCTTAACATAGCTTAAAGCTGGGCCCCCCCACCGAGGCCAGTGTTGGAAAGATGCAGCGCCACTTCCTCAAGCTTGGAGCACTGGCTCAAGCCTTCGGCCAGTGCGCGGGCTCCCTCGTCGCGGAGGAGGATCTCCTGAGGACCTTGGGAAAGGGTCTCGAATGCCAGCTGGTTTCATCGGGGCTTGGGTGGGGAATGACGCGGGATCAGTTGTACTGCGGGAGGTAGTCCCGAGCCGCGTGCTCGTAGAAAAAAACACTCTTTCAAAAAACGCCAGACAGTGGCGCCAGAACCCTGATGCTGTTGGGGGGGGGGGGGGTTGCTGCATGGGCATGCGGCCTACTCTCGCAGCCTACGCGGCGAAGTACACCCCTCGAAAATCGTTCCTTGAGGAAAGCGTCAAATGTCAGTGCCAGAATGCTAGAAACAAGCCTTGGGATCCTTCAACGCTTCAAAGCTGAGGCTCGCAAGGACCAGCGTGGGCCAAAGAACGATTCACGAACTTTGCTATGGGAACAGTTTGAAGAGGCCGAGAACATCCCAGCACAATGTCAGCTAATTTGTCGGTTCCACAGGTCACAAACAGAGCATGCCTTTTGAAACGCAAACCCAACAAAGATGTGCAAGGCTGGAAAAACCCAACTGCTCAAAAGCTCAGCGCAAGTTCATCTGATTTGAAGGCGCACAACATCGTGCATGCGCGTGGGGTCAAAAGCATAAATAGTCCTGAACTGGTCCCAATCCAAGCCCAGCCGCAGCTGCAAACCCCTGAAATTCAACATATCCCAGTTTTGTCAAAATACTTTTCGCTTCATGATTGATTGAGATGCTCAAGGAAACGTCCGTGATCGAACACCACACGGCTGACTCAAATCTTCCCGATTCAAGCTACACATCGGGCTTGGGTTCAGGAACCGGAGGAACCGGAACAGCAAATCCAAACCAATCTATCCTAAACCCTAAACCCTAAACCCTAAATCCTGCCATCCCAAAAGCCACATCCGCATGGAGGCTGCCAGGCTGCCATGTTGCAGCCGAAGTCCCCAAAAACTCCATATCGGCACATCTATAGAGCCCCGAGAAGCCATCTGGGAATCCGGGCCAAACGGGCTCAATGTCAGGTCAAGGACCATCTTCCGGAGCTCCAAGAGCTGGCGGAGCCCGCTGGCCAGAGCTCGTGCCCCTTCCGGGCCTCAAGAAAATTGAGGGTGGGAAGGCGGTCATGAGTTGTGTGACCTGCTGGCGAGGCAGGCCTACTGAAACTCGAAACTTGAGGGAAGTGGCCGCTGCTTGATGTAAAGGGCAAGCAGCTGGCACTACTTCTTCTGCAAGCGACCCTCCCCCCCTTCCCCCAGCATATTAAAAATATACGAGTAGCTCCGGTGCCAGGTCACGAGTGTGCGCAATCACCCAGATCAAAGGAAATTATTGCCTGTTGTTCTCTTCGGCTTCTGCCTCATGCGTTGTGCCCTACCCTAGCAGCATCGACTGGAAGTGACCTGCTTGATACGGTTCAGGTCGGTACTCGAGCGTACCCCGCAAAAAAAGAGACCCTCCGAGCATCTCGGGCCAGCTCTTCTTCTTCATCTTCGTGGGGCCCCCGACCAATGCAGTTGCGCCCCAAGCCCAGGTCCAGCTCGCGGAGGCCGGCGAGGCGCCCGAGCGCCGCGGCCAGGCTTTTGGCACCGGCGTCGCCTGCGCTTTTCCAGCCCCACCTCCCACGAGGTTCATGGTACTTAGAAACCCAAGTATAGCTGTACTTATAACAGTATTATAACCCTAATCCCCAATAAGCAAAGGCTTGCCCGCAGCGGCTCAGCGCGCGGCCGATGCCCAAACCACCGCTGTCGGGCAGCCGGAGCCGCAGCGTCTCGAGGCCGCCGAGAAGTCCTGCGCTGGGCCCTGGGTCCCAAAACACAGAAACGCACCACAGAAGGCGCAAAATGGCATGAAATGTGGGCGCAAGAGCTATAGAAGGGAATGGAAGATGTGAGAAAGCGGCTGCAGAAGCTCCTTCGAAGCTCTCGGCGTCCACGGCCGCCAGCAAAGTGCCCGATTCACTTAAGTCGAGGTCGAACGAAGTCGCGCGCTCCGTTGCCAGCATCAGCCGGAAGCGCAGGGCGCCTCGCGCAAGCAGCGGAGGACGGTGTGCGTCGCGCTCTTCAATTTGGCTCGGGGAGGGGAAGGGGGGGTGGGGGGCAGGGCCCCGCGCCTCGCAGCATCGGCTGCTGCGACGCCTCCCGGAAGGCCGATCTCAAATCCACCTTGGAACCGCAAACTGATAAAGAGCTCCCAACGAGCAGCCTGACCAACGAACAACTTGCAAATGTTGGTTCGATACCTCAGTGGGGGTTGCGTGTGCGGAATTAAGGCTCACCCAGTCGTTTTCAAAGTCGCCGACTGGCTCCGCAGCTGCTTGTGGCATTGTAGGATGGCATGGGTATCTTACATGTCTGGGGCAAGGTCATATATGTTTGCCGCCATTCAAGATCAGCCGTGACCCAGATTCTGAAAAGCCCCCTCCCGTCGCTGCCAGGACAGCCAACCCGCAACCATGTAGCTCCAACAACATACCCAGCATCACTCGTCACTAGGCACTGACAACCTGCCAACACAAGCTCAGAAAAGGATCCACCCAAAAGCAGCTTCAATGAAACCGCTTCCCGCTTCCCCGGGAATCCCTTGAAATCTATCAAGCGCGTAAAATTTACAACGCCAAGCTGTGTCAGGGTTGAGGTGCTTTCTGAGCTCGTGTGGTGTCAGGCCATTGACTTATCGGAGTTTATGCAAGGGGGTTGAGTGTTGAGGCTTTGTCAGGCACTACGGTGCCCGGCATTCCTTCCCTGCTTCCTTGGCGCTTCCGAAATATGTTGGAGCTGCATCGGGCTTCCGCATAGCTTCATGGCATGCCTAGCCCCAACCCTGCCCAAGATACATGCTGTGCTCCGCGGGCAGAGCATATAATTAAAACTAACCTGAGTTGAGGTGAAATTAAACCCTTTGGAAAATTATCTATTAATGAATAGGTTCCGCAATAAAAGGAAAGAAGGGAAATTCAATTTTTTGCTTCGAACATCCCCACCTTAGGGCTTTGGATTGAGGTTGGGCATTTCAGGTTGGGCACTGCAGAGAGACTTGAGGGTGGGCGCCCAAGGAGACTCTGGAAGGGTTGGGCACTCCAGGGAAACTCTGGGGTTGGGCACTCTGGGTTGGGCACTCCAGGGAGTGTCTGGGGTTGGGCACTCCAGGGTGTCTCTAAGACTTGAGTTTAAAATTTAAAATCTAACAGCCCCACACCAAAGGTGGGGAACTAACCCAAAGCACAACCTAGGCTGCAGGCTTCTTGCTCCGATGCCTGCCAGGACTGACAAAAGATGCTGAGTCTGAGTGGCCCCCGTACATGCCCCGCAATGCAGTTCTCGGGCCTCCGCGGCCAGGAACTCGTGCATCCTCAGGTGGTAGATCTGGACCTGGCCGGAAATCGGCTTCATCTACTCCTATAATTCCTGTAAGGTATATGAACCATCAGCCTTTTAAGGGTTCATCTGGTCCCAAAGGATGGACACAGGAGCACGAAGAAGCAAGAGATCCGTGCTGTAGGAAGACGCGTGGCTGCTGCAAGCGGTGGCGCGTGCGCCGCAGAGCGGCCAGCCACCGGCTCGAAGAAGTTCAGGTGCCCCCGCAAGGCCTCCTGGAAGACCACCTCTGGGCTTTCGCGCAAAATCCCACATAGCAACAGCCCCGAGATCACACATACGAATATAACCGAGTTCCAATCGCACATCCGGCCCAGCTTGTATGCACGAGCTGAGGCCTTGTGGCTCTGTCGGCCTCTCTGTCCTCCCTGACTTCCGTGCTCTGCCAGCACAGCAGCAGATGTCATCTACGAGGCAACTTCCCCTTTTTTAGGTGCCGTGTGCACGCAGACTTGCGCAGACCTGGCAAGCTTCAGCTCGTCCCAGCTCAAGTCGAGAATTGGGGGCCTTCACCGGGAAGTCGTCCTCCGCCAGAAGCCTCTGGCCATCCTGAGGGCATATGGTGCGCACAAAAAGGCACTGGGCTTATGGGGAGGGCCTGCAGCTGGCGGAGGCACAGGGGACCCATCAGCGAGCGAAGCCCGGTGGTGCCGGTGCGGACTTCGGCCTGAGACGGCCGCGCCAAAACGAACCCAAAACAAAACGGTGCATCCAACAAGTTCACAGGAGAGACCGCCTGCTGCAAGAGCTTGTCAACAGAGTAGCGCATCAGCGTCAGCTCGGCCGCAGCACCGAGATCCTGCCCGAAAGCAGGGGGGCTTCCACGTCTTATGCTTCAAGAAGGGCCCAAAAGCTCAACGAAAAAAAGGGACCTAGCTGCAAGCTCGCCTGGTCCTCTCGCTCCTCCCGGAACTTGCCTGAGCCGCGTCGTCTTGGGGTGCCAGAATATCTGACTTAGCAGCTATAGCTGCCATACGTCATAGGTACAGAGGCCCTGCGCTATACCGACATGAGGCTGCAGCCCAGGATGTTGGCCATCAGGGGCGTGCGCCACACCTTGCAAACGGGAATCGCAGAAGCAAACGTACCGGACGACCAACATGTCATCCGGGACGTCATTGCGACAGCACATATTTTGGCGCGGCGCGGCTTCAGGCAAAGTGCCCAGCTCTGCCTCCGAGAATTGTGAGATCCTGGGCGGGCTCATCTGAGCGAGCCTTAACAGTTGGGCGGACGTATAGAAGTTTGTAACCCTCTTCATTTGCAGAACCTCCTTCAGAGTTATACCTTTTTACCGTGCAGGCCGAAATTATTTTGAGGAGCCTATTAACATTCCATCATGTTTCGAAAGTGTCTTAGGTTCTTGCAACGTGCATAACTTGTGTAACACCAATTTCAACTTCGTAAGCCTCAAGCCGACAACCGCCAAACGCTCTGAACGGTAAACCCTCCCCCCCACATCCCCACCACTTAACCCTAAACCCTAAACCCTAAGCCCTAAACCCTAAACCCCAAACCCTAAACCCTAACTTTAGGAGGCCTGATCCCTTGGCAACCATCCTCCAAGCACACCCTGGCGCTAACACTTCATGGGTTGGGATGCTTCGAGTGCCCTAAAACCTGCACAATAATTGTTGATAAAAATATGACAATAACAATAAACATAATGATGAGACGAAAAGAACAAACCACACTCCATCCCTATCTCTACGCCCTAGACCAAAACACCCGAAAGCACAGAACCGCTTTCCCCACACCCCCTCGATCTGAACCCCCGCGCTTGGATCGGTTAGGGGGGCCCGAAAGCGGAACACCTGTTGGAATAGGATCCAGAGTTGCCACGGTCAAAGCTGACATACTCTAAATCCCAAGAGGTGTTTCTTTCGTTTTGGGGCCGCCGAAACACCCAAGCTATGGCCCCAAGAGTTTTCTCCCCAAGAATCCATCTGAAGTTTTGGGCTACCTTGTTGGGGGGGGGGGGACGGTGGGGGCCTGGGTGTGGGGGGTGGGCATGCTTCAGAGTGTTAGTTTCGAGTCCGATTTCGGAAGGGGTTCAGGAAAAAGAAACTGAACTCACGGGCCGTAGATTTCAATTCAACATCCTGCCTTTGTTACGAAGACACTACAAGATTCACAGACTGGACTCATGGAATTTTACATTCCAAGGCCCATGATCTCGATTTTCTTCCTGAACCTCATGGGCTGCGCCTGTCATTGAAGAAAGGGTACAGAGTTCCGAAGCAACCTGGCTTTGAGTTTGAGTTCAATAGCCAAGAGTTCACACTTGACACTGAACTTTGTAATTATGGTCACACGCACACATTCGAAAATAAGACATGTGAATATGAAAAAATAGGTCCGCCTGCGCATGTTTCACTGAAACGTTTCTGGCAAACCCGGAGGTAGCGTTTTGCATAAGCCTACGACGGTCAGACCATGCCACATGTTTTTTTCACTTCTTTCTTCGGGATTCGGCCACTGGCCATGTTTTAGCGGGTCTCGGTGGTTTAAGGGGGGCGGTAGAAAAAGGCCCGGAACCCTAAATAACAGATCTGGAACCCGCGCAGAACCTTAATTGCAAGGCCCGCCGCAAACGAAGTCTATGCCACTATGCCCTCCCCCCCAGCCCTGGAAACCCCGAAGCTCATGACCCGAAACTCTGCAAGTACACCCCCGGTCCTGTCGATCTGAACCCCCAACCCTCTCCCAACGCCTGACAAGCCCTGGATGCGGGATTCATGATAACTGTTTCAACTCCGCTGTTGCATTTGTGTCATCCCACCTCGTACTACTTGAAGGCTCATGGTACTTATTTACCAATTATAACTGTACTTATAACTGTACTTATAAGCCCCTTAAACCATGAACCTCCAAGTAGAGCCTCGTACCCCCCCCCCGCCGGCCCCCTCCCCCCATCTGCGGATGTCCTGGCGGCGGCTGCCGGCCGCAGCGCCAGCAGCTCCAGCGGAAGGAACTGCAGCCTAGGGCGCGCCGCTGTTGATGGGCTCGCGTGCAACGCCCACTTGCATCTACAGTGGCCACCCATGCGTTGAGGCTGCGACCACGCGGAAAGCTCCGCCTGAAGGCTCAGCTCCACCATCCGCGCCGGTTGCTGCTCCACCGCCTGCTCCAGGAGGACGCCGCAGCAGCCTGGACGCTGGCGCGTGGGCGCTCCACGTAGCAACGGGCTGAGGTCTTGCGAGCCGAGTGGCGCTCCGTCGGGTCCAGGCGGATTTCCTGGCTCCCCAGCTGGACGACGTCGCCTCCGACGGCCGAAGGAATCAGAGGGCCATCTCTCTCTCTCTCTCTCTCTCTCTCTCTCTCTCTTTGTGTCTCAAGGTCTGCAGGCAGGCTGCCCACACCCACACCGCCAGTGAGGAAGACGGCGCCATCTGCCTGCTGAACCGTCCTGAGAAGAAGCAAACACCAATCCGCCACAAACAGCCACCAGAACCGGCCAGGGACTTTGCACCCTGGCTCTTTTGCCTCTGTGGCCTCAAAAATCTAAGGCTCCGACACCTCCGCACGGCCGAGCTCCCCGTCGCCACCCGGCTGCACCAGGAAGGCACGCAGGGGCCACACCCATTGGTCCATGCCGTCAGTGCCAAGGTTCTGGTACGGCTGGGCACATCAGCATGCAGCAAAGGTTGATGTATGTTTCGTGCACCTCCCTCTTAGTCTTGGCCTGTCTGGCGATCAGCTACTCTTCAAACGCAGAGCCGGTCCTGGCATCGTCGACCAGTCCCATCGACAAGGACAGCGTCCAGTTCATCTTCCTCGTCTTCCTCGGCCGGGTCGCCCCCTGCGTCGAGGAGCGCCTGCTGCAGCAGGACTCCGGCGCGCAGAAGATCGCCCCGCTCCAGGAGAACGGTGGCCGAGAAGATCGTGCGCGGGTCCTGCCACTCAAGCCCTCTTGTCCCTGCCCTGGAATGGACAAAGCAAAATGTGGGGCGGTCCTTGCGCCGCACCTGCACCTCATGGGTTCCAGGCCCAAGGTCCAGGCCCTCCACTTGCAGGAGGAAGCCCTGTGGTGGGGCCGCAAACGCAACAACCCTAAACCCTAAACCCTAAACCCTAAACCCTAAACCCTAAACCCTAAACCCTAAACCCTAAACCCTAAACCCTAAACCCATCCCTTTTTTTTTGGGGGGGGATTTAGTATGAGTAAATAACGCCAACATCACTCCCGGCCTCCTCGCTGGCGACCACTTTGTTGATGGCTGGACTGCCCAGGCCATCCGACAGCTGCACGTGGCAGCCGGCTGGGAAAACATCCTGCAACTTGCTGCTCCCACGACTTCCCTCCACGAACTACCCCTGCTTGTCCTGTGTCAGGAGGTACCTCTCCGACAGCTTCCCCAGCACCGGCGAGGGCGCAGGCTCGCGGGCCTCCCCCGAGGCATCCACGACCCTTGGTGGAGGTGTGCTACGGTACACAGTATAGCTTTATAGTAAGCCGCGGGGAGCATCCTGGGAGGCCGGCTGGCTGGTGCCCGAAGGGCGGCTGGTGAGCACCACGCAGGCGCAGCGATGAAGGTTCTCCCTGAACTGTCGACTCGTCCAAAAACCGCGAGGCTTAAACTTGCACACGGACCAAAAATGGTGACTGCACGCGCTTTCCTCGCAACACCTGTCTTTGCTGGCCGAGGGGCCGTAGCCAGGTCTGGAGCCAGTCCAGGATGCGGCGCCGGGCCTTGCCGGCCTCGTCGAAGCCGTCCAGCACCAAGACCAACCGCCGGTCGCCTCCCGGAAACAGCAGAAAACGAGCTCGAAACCCAACCCACAAAACTGTTCTAGGAATGCATAGGGGCCTCGGTCGATTTCCCGGCAGTCCGGGCCGAAAGCGCGCTGTGCCCAGCGCTGCAGCCTTTGCTTGCTTAGTGGTGACAATTGGGGGCACGTCGAAGTCGGAGACTATGAGGGTGCAGAGGGTGCGCTTGCTGGAAGCTTCCGGCTTCCGCCAGACGTCCCTCCAAGCCCGAACGACCAGGTTAGGGTTGGTTGCTTTCACAAGGGAGTGCAGAACGTGAAGAATGCCTCAAAAAGGTACCACCATTGGAGGTTACTAGGTTGCCTGCCCCCCTGCGAACCTTCACTTCTCAAGGATGTTGTCAAAACCCAACCAAGGCATGAACTGCTCTAAACCCTAGACCTGCTTTTTAACTGGCGCGAAGGGAAGCAGGGGGGTTTGGAATAGAGTTTAGGCTTTCGACTCTCACGTTGAGGCTTTAAGGTTTGGGGTTTTGGGGTTTAGGGTTCGGGGGTAGAGTTGTAAGCTTTCGGGCTGCTTAGGAATTTGGGCTTGGTTTAGAGTATTCTTCAGGGTCACGGCCAAGCAGTACTTTGGGCTTGCGTTCCCCCCTTGGGTACATGGACGCTTCGTTTAGTGCTTAGAATTCAGAGACGCTTCTATCAAGCGATTTTAGACTCGTGATTACCTTCAGGTTGTACCCCAAGCGGTTCCCCTCCATGTTTGGCCCTCATAAGATTGCTTTAGGGATCTTCAAACAGGGTCCCCAAAACCCAAGGGTACAACCTTAAGGGTTCAAGGTACCCTAACCCTAAACCAAGCCGGACACTGCAGCACAGGAACAAGTCGGGGCTGGGATCCTGGTACGCAGCATGCCCCTCCTGCAAAAATGCCCAGCTTCCCTAACTCGATGTCGCAAGGAAGGGAACGCAAGAGCAGCTTTTCCCGAAAGTCCTCGGCGTACTGCGCCAGCTCGGCCAGAGGAACCCGCACCGGCAAAATGCTGGCCGAGTCGGCGCCTCACTGACAGCCGAGGGCGCGCGAAAGGACAAAGAACATGTGAGAGCAAGCATCGATTCCCGCATGCACTCACCAGACGTTTTTCCGACAAGGAAAATTATCTTCGGGCCCCTTAAGGCATATCGCCACACATCGCCCGATGGTCGAACGGCTTCGTGAGAACTATGCAGTGGATATGAGTGGATCATCCAAGGAGGCCGATCCACAATCATTAAGACCGCGGGGGTCACGACAAGAGGTTCTGTGGAGCAGGAGGTGCGTGCACCGTGCACTTCTTTGGGTTTCTGCAAGACGGCATGATGTATCAGCAGCATGTACAGGCATTCTTCCAAAACTCTGAGCCCTGGACCTGCCAGCTCTGCCTGCTAGTACATGCACATGAGACACGGATTCAGGCACAAAACTTCGCGCGACCCTCGCGCGCCAATTGCATGACAGGGCGCGGCGAGCCGCACGACCTCCATGGAGAAGACCGTCTTTCCGGAGCCTGTCTCTCTGCGACTCCGGACCCACACCCAAGAACTCCACACCGGGCTGTCACCGGCTCGTTCGAAGCTACGGGGAGCCTCCCGGTCCAGTCAGAAGGATCCGGGACGGGCCCTCGCCCTGACAGATGGAGCGGATCAGAGAGCCGAGATGAGGCACAGTCTGAGGCTCAAAAGACTGCGAGCCTTCTTGGGTGAGTTGACCCAAAAAAAAAGCTAGGGGCATCTGCCTGGATGCAATCCTTGATGACCTGCGTGGAGGGCTTCACCTGCACGTTGGAGGCATCCGCGTCATTCCGCATGTCACCTCTCATCCCCCTGCGCCCCTGCCGCAAGGCCAGGCGTCAAAGCAAATCGGGGCCTCGCCCGTCAGCGCGTCCCGCAGCTCCAGGTCCTCCGGGTGGATGCGGCGGCCTGCGAGGGCTGCGTCGCATCTGCGAGGCCCGCACTTGCTATGGACGTGGCATGCGCTGCGCACGGGCTGCGCCACCCCGCGCCTGTGAGCCTGTCCCGTGTGACCGCGAGGATGGCGGCGAAGCTGAGCAAATCCACCACCTCCCCAAATCCACGCATACCAGAACAAAGCCAGAACTCCTTCGTTCACTTTTCGTGCATAGAAACGGGCGACTCAGTCTGAGGCCTGGAGCTGGATGGTGCCGAAGACCGCCGTCCACCCGCCCGGGTGCTCTGCGATGGCCGCCTCGATCATCACCTTGTCCTGTGGAACGGCTTTACACTGCCCAAGGGGGAAATCCAAGCATGCAGGAGTCCTGCTTTTGTGCATGTTTGTACGTTTCTATGAGTTTGTTATAATTTTTGTATTATGACACTGCGGCGTGGAACCGCAGGAAAGGCGGGCCAAAGCTCAGGCAAGCCGCTGACTGCTCGGAGGCGTCGCAGTACCGGATGTCAATGTCCTTTCATTAGAAAGGAGAGAGAGGGGGGGGGTGATCCCTGTGATCTCTGCGGCATTTAAGGGCCGGAAGCTACATGTGCAGGATGCTCTTGGGTGCGTGCGCTGCCCATCTCAAGATGGAATAAAAACTCTTACGTGACTGTCCTGAACCTTCTGCAGGATCTCCCGCATCAGCTGAGTCAGCTGCGCCTCGTGGCTGGAGCGGCACAGCTGGCCGTCGGAGGTGTACCTGCAGCGAATGGGAGCAGCAGTTTTCGTTGCGGAGTTTCTGGAATTATGTAGTACATATGCGCGCAGGGCTAGGGCATGAACCGGGTATGCTGAGGCGTGGAGTGAGGGACAGTGAGCACGAAACCTGCAGCTCTTTCCCTTTGCTGTGCAGTTCACAAACACATACCACTCCTACTTCTCAGGGCGGCACGAAATCTGACCAAGGGTAAAGCGAGACTGAACAGCAGTTCCCTGCTTCTGAGGGCTTTTCCTCTCCATTATTAAAACCTCAATGCCCTTACGCCGTTGACCCTACAGATCTGGAAAACCTGAACATCTGCTACCCAAAATCCGATAGATCACGAGCGCTGAACCCTTACCAAGGCCCCGAAAGCTACTGGTAGCCTCTATATAAGGCCCTAAAACCCGGCAGCCCCATTGCCTTGAATCAAAATGCCTGAAAGAGCCAGCTTCAAAAAAATTGCACATGCAGCATGAGACGCCGCTGCAGGCCGCAAAAAAAACCGAAAAAAAAACACCGCAAGGGCCATTGTCACTCCGCAGCTGCGAGTGCCCTCAAGAACACAAACTGCCCCAAAAGCCTTGCGATCCTCTGTCGGCTGCCAGGGCGCAGATCCAGCTGGATGCCCAGGGTGCTGCACCGGAAGATCTCGAAGATGCACCAAATCCTCCTGAGAGGGCCAAATTAGCCAACTTCTCACGTCGGCTCCCCTGTTCCACCTGTGGACCCGAGTCCGAGTTGCATTTCTAGGAGAGACCGAAATAATATGGCTTTGCTGCCGGGCCGCGTCAGAGTGCTGCAGTCCTTGTCAAACCTTGCAGCTTGCAGAACTCTTGTGTGCAGAAGCCGAAAAGCTCAGGCGGTGGCAGATGACACCGCGGCCGAGGCCCGGGCATCATCACGGCCCCGTACATGGGCTCCTGGCACTCCTCGTAGCCTTGCAGGGCTTATAGGGGCAAGTATCCACAAGTCCTACATGGGGGGGGGGACCAACTTCAAGCTGAAACTTTTTTCAGGCACATGTTCAAGAAGCTGTCCAGTTCAGCTGTTTTTTCCAGATTTGGGGTATAGATACACCTACCATACGTCCAGCGCAAATGCGGTCCGGGTCCCCGGGCAGGAGGCGACCCACTCCAGGGCCCGGTTGAAGGGCGACTGGCGCCAGTCGGTCCCCAAATCCTCAGCTCTCAACGCCTCTCAGTGCCTTTCGTGGACAGCCAATGAAGAGGAGAAGCGTCCCGGGGGCGCAAGATTTTGTCGCACACACGAGGCTTTGCAAGTACAGAACTCTCGTGACGGAGCAGATGACCTGTCGTGCCTCTCCTATGCTGGTGATTGGATGCTTTTTGCCCGTGCATCAGGGCCCGGACCACGCAGTGCTGATTGTTGCAGAACCTCGGCGCAGAGCCAGCGACGGAGTCAATGAAGAAATGCTGATGGACTGGCACTTGGTTCCTCTTAATTTTTCATTCCCCAGCTTGTAACTGTAGCTAGAGGCCGACAAGCACCACAGACCATGGCTCTGGGTGCTTGCTTTGGAAAGAAAGGACCGTCTGTGCAGTTGAGGTAAGACAGGTAAGATAAGGTAAGATGCAGCCCCTGCTGGAACACTGCTGGAACTTGGATATGCTCCAAGATACGCCATGCGTTACGAGTAGGCGACAAAGAGTTGCTGCAAAAACACGCGAGTGCCCTGAGAGCCGCCGTGCTCGCCGAGCAACGTGCAGATGTAGTAGACCATCTTTCCTGCCGAAAGCTCCCAGCCAGGCTCCGTAGCAAGAAATAAAAGCCCGAAGTGCGAAACTTCGCCTAATTCCATCGTGGCCCTACAAATCGCTCCTGGGTCGGAGGGGCAGACCTTCTGGGCGTGCAGCAGGAGAGACGCCTTGAATTCCAAAGTCGCCTGCGCAGAGGCAAGTTGGAGCAGTACATAGACATAGCCTGCCAAAGCCTTCAAGGAAGCCGCATGACGTGATGACGTGCAGGTCCTCTCCCCAGTAGTGGGACACAAAGGCATTGAGGGGCGCAAACTCACCCGGATCGTAGAGGTCGGCATACGCTACCTTGAAAAACACTCGCAGCGCAAGTGTTTTTCTGCATACGAGGCGTTGTGTAAAGAACTATACACCCATCAACTCGCGAAGCTCTTTGAAACTACACCTAAATTCACCTAAACACCAACCCTAAACCCTAAATCCTTAACCCTAAACCCTAAAGCTGAACCCTCAACCCAAAACCCTCATAGTTACTACTGACTGCCTTGCCTCCAGGGCACGCCTTTCCGGAGCACGATGGCCGTCCCAGCCTTCTTCAGCAAGCCCTTCTTCCTCCGCGCCGACTCCTCTCCGAGCTGTCCGCCGCGGAGGGTCTCCGGGAGCCCTTGCACGTCCTGCACGTCCTCCAAAAGCAACTGATTTCGGTGGATTTACAAAAGAGGGATCTATCCACTGCCCCTGAAAGATGCGGATGTCCTGTGCTGTCCGCCCGTGCTCGGCGGCTGTTCTCCAACGCCGCTGCCGACCCTGCAGGGCGTCCAAGGGTGCATCCGACGGATTCTGAAAGCCTGCGCTGTGCAGACATGTGGTGTCGACGCTGTGGCAGGCAAGCTGCGGTGTCGGCCCAGTAGTCATTCCGCAGGCTCCCGCCCTCGCCTGCAGCAACGGCCGCCCTGTCGCTGCGCTGCTGTGCACACGTCACCGGGCTAAACAAGGCCAAACCTGGCAAGCCCTCTCGCTTCCATCGCTGGGTGCCCAGCATAGGATGCCCTCAATTGTGAAGCCGCCCTTAACGCGCCGGGGCAAAAGCCAGGCAAAGCTGTCTATGTTGAAGCCTTGCGAGGGGGAGCATTCGACCTGAGCCGAGCGGCGACCTCGATGCCCTCGAGCACGGTGTTATTGCGGAACTGCAGCGAGCCCTCCTCGAAGAGCCGCTCCTGAATGGTCGGGGCGGCATCGTCATAAGTAATGACTACAAATGGGTTTGCAGCAGGCGCACGCGGGCCTCGCTTTGCTTCTCCAAGGCCACCGACAGCTTGCGAGCGGCCTCCTCGGAGAGCACCAGCACCTTCTCCTCGCCTGGGCTTATCGCTCCCCGGCCGACCACGCTGTAAGACGAGAGTGCTGTCATGGATTTGCAGCAGCGCAGCGAATTAAAAGAAAAAGGCCGGTAAGACCACCCCATGACAGACCCATCCGAGCCATTTTGAGCCCAGCTGCAGGTCGTGTGCACCTCAGCGTCAGAAGCTCTGTCAGCGAGCAAAGAAGGGTGCCAACTTGCACTCCGGAGGGCGCTCAGGCGCGGGCGATGACGAGCTCGGCGCAGACGTCGTACATGTTCTTGCGGCCTTTGCCGCGGCCCGTGGGCAGCTCCAGCCACTCCTTGTTCTCCTCTGCTCATAGGGTGGCTGATGCTCACCAATCATCTTCACAAGAAAGCGGCTCCTCAACTAGGTCGAGGAACACCTGCAGCTGGATTCCCCGAGGAACCTGCCGGCAGAGTTGCTCTGGGACTTGCTCTGGGCATGCTGTTGACCTCACAGGCTCACACCACAGAAACTGAACAGATTTCTGCCTCGCTTTATGTGAACAAGTGCTGCTGCTGGCATTCTGTCGGCCCTATCGCTGCACCCCCGAATCTTGCAGGCGGGCCTGTGCGAGGGCGGCAGCCTGTTTAGTTCAAGCTTGAGGTGTGATTCAAAACAACCTTACTCACCTTTTCTTTGGGGTAAGCTGAGTCGACGCGGCTTTTCCTTATTCTTATTATGGTTGTGGCTGCACTCCGCTCTATACCAAACAAAAAACGCGGAGCTTGAAGAAAGATGTGCCGGCAAGTGCCCGGCCTCCCGGCGGGAGCGGAGGCGCGCCTTTCAAGCTCTTGTGGGTCTGAATACGGGGCTTGGGGTGAGAACTGGGGCTTTTAAGGTGGGGATGCTGTTTTTTCGACCCCCAAGGTTGATTTTGTTCATGCCAAGTCCCCTTCCCATTCCATTTGCATATAGCACCGCCTGTGACATTTTCATTTTCCTGTAGCACCGCCACATCCCCATTCCATTTGCGTATAGCACCCCCAAGACCCCTTCCTTTTGCTAGTAGCGCCGCCAGTGACCCTCTGCATCGCAACTTCCCTTTCCACTTGCTTATAGCACTGCCCAAGGCCCTCTTAATTCGCTTAAACGCACCACCCTTGGCCCTTTTCATCTGCCTGTCGCACCGCCCAATTCCCATTCCATTCTCTCATAGCACCGCCCAACCTCCTCATTCCATTTGCTTGTAGCACCGCCCATTCCAGTTGCGAAAAGCAGCGCCCATGACTCTTTTCATTTGCTTAAAGCACCGCACCTTTCCATTTGCTTATAGCACCGCCCATTTCCCATTGCAGTTGCTTTTTGCACCGCCGAAAACCCTTTCCATGTGCGAAAAGCACCGCCCATGACCCTTTTCATGTGCTGCAACACCGCCACATCCCCATTCCATTTGCTTATAGCACCGCCCAAAACCCCTTCCATTTGCTCATAACACCGCCCATGATTCTTTTCGATTGCTTGCGGCACCGCGCTAGACCCTTTCCATTTTCTTAAAGCACCGCCCATGACCCTTTTCATCTTCTCGTAGCCGCCCAATTCCCATTCCATTAGCGTTTATAATATAGCACCGCCCAAGACCCCTTCCATTTGCTTTTAGCACCCCCCAAGACGCCTTCCATTTGCTTGAAGCACCGCGCATGACCCTTTCCATTTGCTTGTAGCACCGCCGAAATCCCATCCTTCCATGAGCTTATAAACCGCAACTTGCCATTTCATCATCATCATAGCACCGCCCAAGACCCCTTCCTTTTTGCTTATGGTACCGCCTTCGTCCCTTTTCGTTTGCTTGCAGCACCGCCCAATCCCCATTCCATTTGCTTCTTGGACCCCCAACAAAACCGCCTTAAATCCCTGAAAGCGAGCGACGCTTCTCCGTGTATGCCCTCCCTGGCTGCGCTGCACTTGCCTGGCAGAGCTGCTGCAGGCTGGCCTCAACAGCCCCATCGACCTGCGTGCGGTACGTGGGCCACAGGCCCCACGAATTGAGATTTTGCATGCCTGTCAGAATCAGAAACCTGGAGAAGCATGAAGGGGACGGGGGGGTTATGAGCTCAGAAGCAGAAGGGATCCGGACTTCTTCTTTGGGGTTAGGGTTTAAGTTTTAAAGCTCAAGGCTTTCCAGCTTCCACTGTCACATATTAGTACTCCAGAGGATCAAACCATCAGTATTAAACGGCATCGGCGAAGCTGCTGGACGAACCCCCTTGGAAAATTGATTGCCTGGCCTCGCTATACAGAGGATGCGGAAAAGGGAGACTTAGCTTTGTTAGGGCTCTGGCCTCAAGAGTTGAGATTATGACGCCGTGCAGCCTGAGACCTTATAAGGTCAATTATGAAGCCTGCCTAACTTTTCAAAATTCAGGTCAGCTTTGCTCAAACTCAGCTCAGGCATCCCAGGAAGGGTGGGCTCAGGCCCTCAAGTTTCAGTGTTCGAGAAGATCTCAGAAGCTAATTTTCACACTGAGGCATGTAAATATTCAAGTGACCCGAAAACCTTACGTAGCAAAATTCCGGGTCATGACAATGTGACCCCGCTCAATAAGGTAGCAAAATCAATTTGACCACAGTTCCGGAGGATCGGACTGAGCAGTGTTTGACATTCTTAGGGCCTCCCGGCCTTCGCAGCCTTCCGATCGCTCGCTGCGGCATCGGAGGCCGCCAACTTCTGAGCGTAGGAGGCGATCGCTGCGCTGCGCTCCGCCTGCGTATGTCGCGTTGAAGGGTTTCGCCGTGGGGGGTTTTGGGATCTGCGATATTTTGAGCCATCCCATGCCCGTGAAGACAGTGCCCGAAAATCCTGTGAGGCACAGCCCCTCCACTTGCTACAGGTCGCTTGGGTATAAGGCTTTAGGGGTCAGAACGCTCGGGCATGAGATGCCTCTGATGACTCGCGGTTAGGCGGTGCAAACTCCTTGCGTACTTTACACTCCGAAGCCCGGAAAGCCCACACTAGCGCTCACACTCGCGCGCTCACATGCTGAGGCTGCCACCCGCAGCGCCTTTTCAAAGTGCTGCACCTGCAACAAGAGGAGATCAGCCCTCTCCCCCAACAGGCTGCAAGCTGCGCGGCTCAGGGTCTTGAGGTGGGGGGGCGGAGCTCGAGAAGAAGGGTTTGTAGGTCCAGAGAGTCGCAGGACAGGCAATCTGTCAGGGTACCGTCTTTGCTTGAATACCTTCTCTCTCTCTCTCTGTCTCTCTGCTGTCTCTCTGCTGTCTCTCTGCTAGCTCTCTGCTATCTGTCTGCTGTCTCTCTGCTGTCTCTCTGCTGTCTCTTTGTCTCTCTCTCTCTCTCTCTCGCTCTCTGTCTCTCTCGCTCTCTGTCTCTCTCTCTCTCTCTCTCTCCCTCCCTCTCTCTCTCTCTCTGATGCACGCTTGAAAGGCGAGGCGACAAGCGTAACAAGGGCATCAATCATGCCCTCACGTGCCTGCGTCCTCAGCCGAGCTGCGCCTTTGCAAGCCTGAAGCAATGAGCCTCCAGCATTGGTTGGTCTGTTACGGGTGGCACAATTTCAAGCGCGGCGGGCATGGGGTTTGCCGAGCTTTGCAGGACTCGTGTCCAGGTCATGCAAGGGTCTGGTTTGGGGGGCTTTGGGGGAGGAGGTACACCTTGCAACAAGGTACGCGCTACCACACAAGCCGGCCGGGGGTGCCCAGGAATCCGCGTTTCTCGGAACCGGTCTCCATCTCCGACTCGCTGTCGCTGTGCCTGGCCCCGACAGCGCGTGGTCTCTTTTGATGATGCATGGTTGAGTTCTCACATTTCTGGTTGCATGGTGAGTGAGCATTTAAGGCTTAGGTAGTTCTGATGCTTCCTTCTTTGTTTCGTGCCGGCTTGGAGCCGAGACGCAGGCCGGCAACCTGTGCCCCCCCCGGCACGTCCGGATCAATCTCAAAAAGGCTTGGGCCATGCGAGTCTGTCAAAAAAGTCCACCGGAAGCAGTATACCCCGGAAAGGGCAGCTCCCATGGCAGGTGCCCTATACGCAGGTCTTGCAGCAAGCCGAGGGCCGCGCGATCCGGCTTCGGGATTGCGCAGAGCAACATGGCATACCTGAGCACCGGAGACCCACGACGCATGAACAACAACAACTGCAGTAGCAACAAGAATAAGAACAGTACTAAAAAAAAACAGAAATAGTAACACACCACTGCTAAGAACAAGAAAAGCCGCAACAATAAGAACAATAAACAGGACAACAAGGGTAGCAACAATGGAACAATAAATTGTAAGGGTAAAACACGCAATGAGCTTAAAATGATGATTCTCATCCTCATAGCCACATCCCCCCCTCCGGCATGGCAGGCTTCGGGGTCCAACACCGCAGACGCCCCAGAAGCCCCTCTCGGCCCCCTCTTCCATCCTATAAGCCTACCCTAATCCCCAAAAAAGCTAAGCCCCATGCCCTATACCCACCTTAAAACAAGGACCCTCTGATGATCTCACCGTGTTCTCCAGCCTCGGCCGGGCCTACCTCCTCGGGCACCCCAGGTGGAGTTACCTGGCCGTGCACTTCAGGGCAAAAAAGGGTCATGCATTGCATGGCGAGCGTAGCAGCAAAAGGTTGCAGTAGCTGCCACACTAGGAAAATGCAAGTACTGTTGTGTGTCGATGCTTGCAGTCATGTCCTTATTGGTGCGCTGCAGCCAGCTTGTAAAGGCAACGCAGCAAAGTGCAAGGAGAAAAACGCCCTTCCGATGAAAAACCTTGAGCCCTGATCAACCGTTCAGCTCCCTTTCTGTTTTCCCTATGCCCCCGCAAGGAGAACCCGTGAGAAAGACAAGAGAGAATGAGTGCAGCTCGGGCCTCCGTAGGTAGAGAGCACATGGCTTTCCAGGCCTCGCAGGGCGGCCAAGCTAAGCAAACGAAAATTCTCACAAAAAGAATGGCGGGGGAGCAAAGGTCAGCATGCATGTCTTTAGCACGGAGAGGCGCGTGCCACGCTGCATTCAACGGAAGCTGAGAGATTCTGCCCTGCAGACCGGAACTTCGAAGCTGGGAAGCGGGCGGAGAGCTCTGCGGAAGCCCCCTTCAAGGGGCTGCTCGCTCCATGCACCGACGCGGACGCTGCAGATGCTCCGGAAATGCAGCGCGTGGGCAGGGTTTAAGCGGTTTAGGCAGTTTGGGGAGTTGAGGGTTTAAGTGCTTTGTCTTGCCATCCATAGCTGAACTACAGGCTCGTCAGGGTTTAATTGGGACTGGGGGATTCTGTGGTTTGGGGCTGTTTGTGGACCCGCGAAGCTCCAAACCCCCCTCTCAGAACCAAAGAGAAACAATCGGTGGGAGGGCTCCTGTGGAGGCGGAAGAGCTTCTTGCGGACGGCAATAGTTTGTGTTCATGTCTGAATTGCTTATTCTTCTACTTGCTGTCACTGACTGTGACTACTATGGCCATCATGTGCGCTGTTTGACTCGGACCCTTTTGCGTTGCTCTTAAAAAGGGTTCGGCCGCTGTAGTCTTCGATGTAGTCTTCACACACGCCGCTGCTCCCTCTCCCGCCTGAGCAATGCCACAATGCTCAATGCAAATTCTAAGTTTCAAACATTTTCAAACCCGCTTTTTAAAGTCGCCTGCGCCCTCTCGTCTCGAGAACCTTCTTTAGATTGTCCGGCAGCAGGATCCCTTGGCGCGAGGGCTCCAGCACGAAGATGCCGGGTACTTTCCAATTGCTTGGGGACTGAGGGGCCTTTTTCAATCGGGGCTGACAGTAGAGGGTTGTTGGGTGCTCTCGGCTTGGGATCCTAGTGGCCTTGCGACGAAGGCACGAAGCATCTGCCGCTTTGCGGCTGCTTCTCCAAAGCGCTCTTTGAGGCTGAAAATGAAGGAGAACAAAAAGGCCGAAGCGGATCGCAACCCCCGTTGAGTTGTAGGGAGTATTTCGGGCTGCTTTAGGAGGCTTATCTCCGGTGGAAGGTATACAAATGGACAGACACACACACACACACAGACACACAGACACACAGACACACACACACACGCACACACACACGCGCAATGTGTAAGACTTCAGTGCCAGAGCTCTTCCGCCTCTAGGTGAGAGTATAGGGTTGCAGACAGCATCCGCCAACAATATCTCAGACACGGCTCCCCACGCGTGGTCCAAAAGGATGGGCGTGCACTGCTGTGCACTTGTTTCAAACCTCCACGACACCCGTGAAGACCTTCAACATACATATATATATATACATACATACATATACCTATGACTTAACCCCCCCCCCACAGAAGCCCCGCAAGATCCTTACACGATAGCCTGCTAAAGCCCTGTACTAAGCCGGTACAAGAAAAAAGGTTTGGACAGTCGGAAACACACCTTTACTGTCTCTGTCCCTCTATAACCTCTTACATAAATCATTCTGCTCGTAGATGCCCCCTCTTTGCCTCTGCATACCCCCGTCTCAACCCCTGCCTGCACTCCCTACAACTCAAGGCGAGCGGACGCTGCGCAGGGCTGCGGGGCCGCCTGGCCGCGCTGGCGCGGCCAAGGCATACAACAAGCTGCAGAAATCGCGTCCGGAGCAGGCAAGTGCGCCAGTCAATGTGTGTACATGTAGCAATCACAATGACAACGATGAGTATTGACAATTCGCAATCAGACTACAGGGGCCTAACTACATTTTTCGCAGCAAGCAATAGCACAGTAAGTTGTCATGAAGGACATTGTACCAATACAGTACTCCAGGCTTTGCGTCCACCTAAGCCCTAAGCCACTCTTGGTCCTGTCTTTGGATTGTTGGAGTATAGGCAGCGCTCTGCTACAAAGCAGGAGTTGTTTTGCCCTCGCCCTGGGGCGGTCATCAGACTTCTTATGCTATGCTGACCATGACAAACAAGCTTGAAAATTTGCCTACAGTTCTGGCGATGATTGCGATTATGACTGCTCGTAGCGCAATCTTACCCCGATTTGCACCCCCTAACCCTAAACCCTAAACCCTAAACCCACTGCGTACATCGGACAGATCTCGCCATCTCAAACCCTAAACCCTAAACCCTAAACCCTAAACTCCCCGGTAACCCTCAACTTCGGGGATGGCAAAGTCTCGGCGCCGGCTTCCCTGGCTCTTCGGAAGCAGGGCACCGTTTTAAACGGCGCCTGTTTGGAAGAGTGGTGGAGATGGGAAGGTGGGAAGGTGGGCGTGGCCCCCCAGGAAATCAAGAGCGTCTGAAGTTGCCGGCGCCGATTCCCTTCCCTTCCACGACTCCAAATTGCAGGCATCAGCGTACGCTTGTCAATGTGAATCTGCCGCAGATGGCGAAAATGCTGTTTTTTTTGGGGCGTTGGGATTCTGAAAGGCTTTGTCCATGACTCCAGGGCCATCCTGACAGTTGCACAGATTCTTGGTGCGTCCAGCCGATTCCAGAGGTCACCTGATTCGGGCGGGAAGCAATGGGTTCGCTTGATTGTGTAGGGGTTTATAGGATTGAGGTTGTATCAAGGTTATTGATGCGCCGCTAGGCTCTGATTCCGAAGCCTCTTGGGGCTTCAAAAGCTTGGGCGCATCATTCGCCCGAACTGACAACTTTGGGAGTAATTAACGTGTGTTTCAACTCCCAGGCCGAGGTCCTCAAACAGAAGGGCGAAGAATCGTATGCGTCCAAATAATTCCACAGTTTCGCTACGGTGCCAGCATAAGAAGTCACAAGAGTCACTGCAATACCAATATGAAAGAAACGTTAGGAGCGCTGATGATTGCCATGGCCGCACGCTAGTAGCAGCAAGCTTCTTGATAGCAATGACACTCGCAGTACTGAGAGCAGTACAGGCACTCGTGACCGTCACCGGCCCCCCCCCCCCCCCCCCCCCCCGCAGAAGCCCCGCCACGAAAACCCACAACGATACCAAACTAACCAAAAACAACAGTTCAACAAATCAAGAACACATCAACATCATCATCATCATCATCATCATCATCATCATCATCATCTCGTCGTCGTCATCATCATCATCGTCATCACCATCACCATCATTTTCTTCTTCTTCTTCTTCATCTTGAATCCCTCCGAACAGTTCTTGCTGAGCCGGATGCCTTGCCGCACCAGGCGCTTCGACCTTGAATGGTTGATTTCGGAGGGTTAAAGCACCCCGTCATTTATTCAAAGTTGGGCAATGCTGGGATGGGGAGGGCCGGGGAAAAAAGCGTGGGGGGGAGGAGGAGGCTCTCCATTTTGCGAATCAAGCGCCTGCGGGGGTTGTGGCGGCCTTGGAGGGTCTGAGTCTGCCACGAACAAGCTAAGGATGGCAATATGGGGCACCGAGAGTCACCCTAACCTCCTCTCCCCTCCTGAAGCTTACAAAGACTTGCGAAGAATGACTATGATAGCATCGAATTACCTCCAAGAAAAAAGCAATGGGCTCCGGAGTTCCATGGAGGAGCCCGTGCCAAAACCAAAAACGGTTCACTTACTCCTTTTTGGCCTTTCTTATTTCCAGCTCCAAGGGACTTCATCTGAGATGGATCCATTTCTCCGGGGCGGGCAGCGCCTCCAGCAAGGCGCGGATTTCCTGCTCCGTCTCCTCTCCACCTCGGTTAGGCGGCACGGGAACCGAAACGGGAACCGAAAGGAGCCAAGAGCTCCGCACATGAAGCTTGGACACCCCCTGAAGCGGTCTTGACCTGGCCAACATTTTGTCGACATGTCAGCAGAAGAGCCAAGCAACCACACCCTGGGTCAAGCGCCCTCGGCACAAAACAAAAACAAAGAGGAGGCTTTGACAACTTGCGGCCGAGATCTGTGATAACCCTGGTCGGTGTAACGGTGTAGAGCCCCAAGAAACCTCCATGAAAGACCGACCAGCCGCGCGCTGGCACCCATCTTCTGGGAATCCGGGCCAAACTGGTTGCCGTTGAGGCGGAGGACCATGTTCCGAAGCTCCGAGAGCTGGCGGAGCCCGCCGGCCAGAGCTTGCGCCCCTTCCGGGCCTCACCAGAAAATCACACAGGGTTGTCTGGCGAGGCAAGGGCAAGGGTCATTGCGGCCGGGGCCTTGCAATGACCAGCTTGTGGGAAGAAACGATTCAAGAACCTTGCTATAGTCATGCAGAGCACATAGCAACATCCCTGTAAGGTATCAGCTAGTCAGTCGGGTTCGCAGGGCGCCTAATCAAGAACTGCAACTATACTGAGCCCACCCAAGCCCAGCCGCAACCACACACCTGAAGTTCACCATCGAAAAAACGGGGCCGATTCAAATCTTCCGGAGTCAGGCTGCGCAACATCGGGCTGAGGCGGTTAGCTGCGCAGCTGCAGGTGCTTCAGACCATTTCTGCTTCAGAATTTCAGATCCAGCTAGATGTAAGGCGTGCCCCCAAACGGAGCTGCCCAAAACCCGGAATCCCGAAACGAAGCCCCGAAGTTCTGAAGAACCACCTCTTCGTCTGGGTCTCGTGGCTGCGAGGCATGCCTCTCCCCTTTCGAACAGACATGAACAAACGCTGCTTAAAGCAACCCTACATGGCTCCCCTTCCTCGCAGACTCGCAGCATCGCCTGAATCTCAAAGGAGCGCCGGACCCCCTGCGCTGGGCCCCCCGGCCGAAACCAGTACTCCGAAGACCAAGCGTCACTTCTTCGAGCTTTGATGAGCACTGGCTCAAGCCTTCGCCCACTGCGCGGGCTCCCTCGTCGCCTCAGGACACAAAATAACTTGACAAGGAGGGAAGCGGAGGAGGATCTTCGGTAGACCTTGGAAAAGGGTCTCGAAAGCCATATGAGTCCCATCGGGGCTTTGGGGCGGGAATTATCTTTCCGCTGCACCAGACAATGCGTGCAAAAAGGGGCGGGGCGCGCCATGTTGAGTAAACCTGCACATGAGCATGAGGCCTACGCTCGCGGCCCAAGCGGCTTGGTGCTGCTGTGCTTTTTCTTACGCCCCTCAGGGGCAAATTCAAATCGCTCTTTCCTCGAGACAAGCTGTCAAACTCAGTCCGGCCCTGGAATGAAGCAAGCTTGGGACCCTTGAAATTTCCAAGCTTTCTGCCTGACCAGTTTGGGCGAAAACGATTCACAACACCATCAAGGTGGGAACATTTTGAAGAGCCCAGAACATCCCGGCACTACATCAATTCATTTCTCAATTTCACAAATCACAGACAGAGCATGCCACAGAAACCCAAACCCCAAAACAAATGTGCGATACAAGAAAAACCCAACCGCTCAAGAGCTCAGCGCGAGTTCATCTGATTGTGAAAAGGCGCGCAACGCCGTCCGCGCGCACGGAGTCAAGAACATAAATGGCTCGAACTGATCCCCATCCAAGCCCAGTCGCAACCTGCAGACCCCTGAAATTCAACCTCGCAGGCTATGCCATTTTTTCACTTCATGATTTATAAAATTTAACAGCCTCAAGGAAGCGATCTGCCAGCTAAAGGAAGGAGCCATCAGCTCAAGAGCAAAACGAGATTCTTCAGGGAAGGCGAGGGGGGGGGCACAGACGCGTCAAGTGGCCCGGTTCATGGAGCCTCGCAGTATGCGGAGTCTAAGATTGTGGGCAAAAACCTTTTTCTTGTACCAAAAAACAGGAGTTGTCGGAAGCTGGCTTCGCAGAGTTGGACGGTTAAGCATGTTGGGTCTCCAGGCCCTGGGTTGAACTGGAACAACAAACCCAAACCCATCAAGGCAACCCGTGAATCTATCATATATCCCAAGCCACATGGCGCGGAGGCTGCCATCTTGCAGCCGAAGCCACCAGAAACAAAACATCGGCAGATATAGAGCAGAAACCTTCTTGAAAAGGCCGACCAGCCTGGCGACCCCTGGCACCCATCTGGGAATCCGGGCCAAGCTGGTTGCCGCTGAGGCCAAGGTCCATCTTCCGAAGCTCCGAGAGCTGGCGGAGCCCGCCGGCCAGAGCTCGCGCCCCTTCCGGGCCTCAAGAAAATCACACAGGGTTGTCTGGCGAGGCAAGGGCAAGGGTCGTTGCGGGGGCCTTGCAATGACAAGTTTGTGGAAAAAATCGATTCACGAGCCTTGCTATAGTCATGCAGAGCACACAGCAACATCCCTGCAAGGTATCAGCTAGTCAGTCGGGTTCGCAGGTGACAGATCATGCCGCTGAAGCCCAAACTAACAAACTTGTGCAAAGCTGGAAAAACCAACCGCCCAGTTCATCTGATTTGACCGGTCACACGAGTGTGCACGTGCGCCTAATCAAGAACTGTAACTATACTGAGCCCACCCAAGCCCAGCCGCAACCAGAAACCTGAAGTTCATCATCGAAAACACGGCGCAGATTCAAATCTTCCGGAGTCAGGCTGCGCAACATCGGGCTGAGTCGGCTAGCTGTGGAGCTGCAGGTGCTCCAGGCCGTTTTCTGCTTCAGAATGTCAGATCCAGCTAGATGTAAGGCGTGCCCCCAAACGGAGCTGCCCAAAACCCGGAATCCCGAAACGAAGCCCCGAACTTCTGAAGAACCACCTCTTCGTCTGGCTCTCGTGGCTGCGAGGCATGCCTCTCCCCCTTTCGAACAGACAGGAACAAACGCTGCGAAAGGAACCCTACATGGCTCCCCTTCCTCGCAGCATCGCCTGAATCTCAAACCAGCGCCGGCCCCCTGCGCTGGGCCCCCCGGCCGAGGCCAACCTCGGAAAGACGAAGCGTCACTTCTTCGAGCTTGGAGCACTGGCTCAAGCCTTCGCCCACTGCGCGGGCTCCCTCGTCGCCTCAGGACACAAAAGAAATTGACAAGGGTGGAAGCGGAGGGGGATCTTCGGTGGACCTTGGAAAAGGGTCTCGAAAGCCATATGAGTCTCATCGGGGCTTAGGGTGGAATTATCCTTCCACTGCACCAGACAATGCGTGCCAAAAGGGGCCGGGCGCGCCATGTTGAGTAAACCTGCGCATGAGCATGAGGCCTACGCTCGCGGACCAAGCGGCTTGGTGCTGCTGTGCTTTTTCTTACGCCCCTCAGGGGCAAATCGCTCTTTCCTCGAGAAAAGCTGTCAAATTCAGTCCGGCCCTGGAATGAAGCAAGCCTTGGGACCCTTGAAATTTCCAAGCTTTCTGCCTGACCAGTTTGGGCGAAAACGATTCACAAGCACCATGAAGGTGGGAACATTTTGAAGAGCCCTGAACATCCCGGCACTACATCAGCTAATTCATTTCTCAATTTCACAAATCACAGACAGAGCATGCCACAGAAACCCAAACCCCAAACAAATGTGCGAGACTGGAGAAACCCAACCACTCAAGAGCTCAGCGCGCAAAGCCGTCCGCGCGCACGGAGTCAAGAACATCAATAGCTCGAACTAATCCCCATCCAAGCCCAGTCGCAACTACAGACCCCTGAAATTCAACATCGCAGGCAATGCCATTTTTCACTTCATGATTTAAAAAAGTTAAAAGCCTGAAGGAAGCGAGCTGCCAGCTAAAGGAAGGAGCCGTCAGCTCAAGAGCAAAACGAGATTCTTCAGAAAAGGCGAGGGGGGGGCACAGACGCGTCAAGTGGGCCGGCCTTGGTTGCGATGTTGGGTTTTGAGGCCGTGGGTTGAACTGGAACAGCAAACCCAAACCCATCAAGGTAACCCATGAACCTATCATATACCCCAAGCCACATCGCACGGAGGCTGCCATCTTGCAGCCGAAGCCCCCAAAAACAAAACATCGGCAGATATAGAGCCCCGAGAAACCTCCTTGAAGAGGCCGACCAGCCTCGCGACCCCTGGCACCCATCTGGGAATCCGGGCCAAGCTGGTTGCTTGCGAGGGCAAGGACCATGTTCCGAAGCTCCGAGAGCTGGCGGAGCCCGCCGGCCAGAGCTCGCGCCCCTTCCGGGCCTCAAGAAAATCACACAGGGTTGTCTGGCGAGGCAAGGGCAAGGGTCATTGCGGCCGGGGCCTTGCAATGACCAGTTTGTGGAAAAAATCGATTCACGAGCCTTGCTATAGTCATGCAGAGCACACAGCAACATCCCTGCAAGGTATCAGCTAGTCAGTCGGGTTCGCAGGTGACAGATCATGCCGCTGAAGCCCAAACTAACAAACTTGTGCAAAGCTGGAAAAACCAACCGCCCAGTTCATCTGATTTGACCGCTCACAAGAGTGTGCACGTGCGCCTAATCAAGAACTGTAACAATACTGAGCCCACCCAAGCCCAGCCGCAACCAGAAACCTGAAGTTCATCATCGAAAAAACGGGGCCGATTCAAATCTTCCGGAGTCAGGCTGCGCAACATCGGGCTGAGGCGGCTAGCTGCGGAGCTGCAGGTGCAGACCATTTTCTGCTTCAGAATTTCAGATCCAGCTGGATGTACGGCGTGCCCCCAAACGGAGCTGCCCAAAACCCGGAATCCCGAAACGAAGCCCCGAAGTTCTGAAGAACCACCTCTTCGTCTGGCTCTCGTGGCTGCGAGGCATGCCTCTCCCCCTTTGGAACAGACATGAACAAACGCTGCTTAAAGCAACCCTACATGGCTCCCCTTCCTCGCAGCATCGCCTGAATCTCAAACCAGCGCCGGCCCCCTGCGCTGGGCCCCCCGGCCGAAACCAGTAACCTGAAGATCAAGCTTCACTTCTTCGAGCTTGGAGCACTGGCTCAAGCCTTCGCCCAGTGCGCGGGCTCCCTCGTCGCCTCAGGACAAAAAATAAGTTGACAAGGGGGAAGCGGAGGGGGATCTTCGGTGGGCGAAAACGATTCACAAGCACCATGAAGGTGGGAACATGTTGAAGAGCCCAGAACGTCCCGGCACTACATCAGCTAATTCATTTCTCAATTTCACAAATCACAGACAGAGCATGCCACAGAAACCCAACCCCCAAAACAAATGTGCGATACAAGAAAAACCCAACCGCTCAGAGCTCAGCGCGAGTTCATCTGATGGTTATAAGGCGCGCAACGCCGTCCGCGCGCACGGAGTCAAGAACATACATAGCTCGAACTGATCCCCATCCAAGCCCAGTCGCAACCACAGACCCCTGAAATTCAACATCGCAGGCTATGCCATTTTTCACTTTATGATTAAAAAAACTAAAAGCCTCAAGGAAGCGATCTGCCAGCTAAAGGAAGGAGCCGTCAGCTCAAGAGCAAACCGAGATTCTTCAGGGAAGGCGAGGGGGCACAGGGCACAGACGCGTCAAGTGGCCCGGTTCATGGAGCCTTGCAGTATGCGGAGTCTAAGTTTGTGGGCAAAAAGCCTTTTCTTGCACCAAAACACAGCAGTTGTCGGAAGCTGGCTTCGCAGAGTTGGACGGTTAAGCATGTTGGGTCTCCAGGCCCTGGGTTGAACTGGAACAGCAAACCCAAACCCATCAAGGCAACCCATGAATCTATCATATATCCCACGCCACATCGCGCGGAGGCTGCCGTCTTGCAGCCGAAGCCCCCAGAAACAAAACATCGGCAGATACAGAGAGCCTCGCGCTCCTGGCACCCATCTGGGAATCCGGGCCAAGCTGGTTGCTTGCGAGGTCAAGGACCATCTTCCGAAGCTCCGAGAGCTGGCGGAGCCCGCCGGCCAGAGCTTGCGCCCCTTCCGGGCCTCACCAGAAAATCACACAGGGTTGTCTGGCGAGGCAAGGGCAAGGGTCATTACCACCGGGGCCTTGCAATGACCAGTTTGTGGAAAAAATCGATTCACGAGCCTTGCTATAGTCATGCAGAGCACATAGCAACATCCCTGCAAGGCATCAGCTAGTCAGTCGGGTTCGCAGGTGACAGACAGATCATGCCGCTGAAGCCCAAACTCACAAACTTGTGCAAAGCTGGAAAAGCCAACCGCCCAGTTCATCTGATTTGACCGGTCACAAGAGTGTGCACGTGCGCCGAATCAAGAACTGTAACTATACTGAGCCCACCCAAGCCCAGCCGCAACCAGAAACCTGAAGTTCACCATCGAAAAAACGGGGCCGATTCAAATCTTCCGAAGTCAGGCTGCGCAACATCGGGCTGAGGCGGCTAGCTGCGGAGCTGCAGGTGCAGACCATTTTCTGCTTCAGAATTTCAGATCCAGCTAGATGTAAGGCGTGCCCCCAAACGGAGCTGCCCAAAACCCGGAATCCCGAAACGAAGCCCCGAAGTTCTGAAGAACCACCTCTTCGTCTGGCTCTCGTGGCTGCGAGGCATGCCTCTCCCCCTTTGGAACAGACACGAACAGACATGAACAAACGCTGCTTTAAGCAACCCTATATGGCTCCCCCTCCAAACTCCCAGGCTGCTGCGAAATCGCGGCATCGCCTGAAGGCGCCTGAATCTCAAACCAGCGCCGGCCCCCTGTGCTGGGCCCCCCGGCCGAGGTCAACCTCGGAAAGATGAAGCGTCACTTCTTCGAGCTTGGAGCACTGGCTCAAGCCTTCGCCCAGTGCGCGGGCTCCCTCGTCGCCTCAGGAAAAAAATAAGTTGACAAGGGGGGAAGCCGAGGGGGATCTTCGGTGGGCGAAAACGATTCACAAGCACCATGAAGGTGGGAACATTTTGAAAAGCCCAGAACATCCCGGCACTACATCAGCTAATTCATTTCTCAATTTCACAAAGCACAGACAGAGCATGCCACAGAAACCCAAACCCCAAAACAAATGTGCGATACAAGAAAAACCCAAGCCGTCAAGAGCTCAGCGCGAGTTCATCTGATTGTTATAAGGCGCGCAACGCCGTCCGTGCTCACGGAGTCAAGAACATAAATAGCTCGAACTGATCCCCATCCAAGCCCAATCCCTGAAATTCAACATCGCAGGCTATGTCATTTTTCACTTCATGATTTATCAAGCCTCAAGGAAGCGATCTGCCAGCTAAAGGAAGGAGCCATTACTCAAAGCGATCTGCCAGCTAAAGGAAGGAGCCGTCAGCTCAAGAGCAAACCGAGATTCTTCAGGGAAGGCGGGGGGGCACAGACGCGTCAAGTGGGCCGGTTCATGGAGCCTTGCAGTATGCGGAGTCTAAGTTTGTGGCCAAAAACCTTTTTCTTGCACCAAAACAAACAGGAGTTGTCGGAAGCTGGCTTCGCAGAGTTGGACGGTTAAGCATGTTGGGTCTCCAGGCCCTGGGTTGAACTGGAACAAGAAACCCAAACCCATCAAGGCAACCCATGAATCTATCATATACGCCAAGCCACATCGCACGGAGGCTGCCATCTTGCAGCCGAAGTCCCCAGAAACACAAAACATCGGCAGATATAGAGCCCCGAGAAACCTCCTTGAAAAGGCCGACCAGCCTCGCGACCCCTGGCACCCATCTGGGAATCCGGGCCAAGCTGTTTGCCGCTGAGGAGGAGGTCCATCTTCCGAAGCTCCGAGAGCTGGCGGAGCCCGCCGGTCAGAGCTCGCGCCCCTTCCGGGCCTCCAGAAAATCACACACGGTTGTCTGGCGCGGCAAGGGCAAGGGTCATTGCGGCCGGGGACTTGCAATGACCAGCTTGTGGAAAAATCGATTCACGAGCCTTGCTATAGTCATGCAGAGCACACGGCAACATCCCTGCAAGGCATCAGCTAGTCAGTCGGGCTCGCAGGTGACAGACAGATCATGCCGCTGAAGCCCAAACTCAAAAACTTGTGCGAAGCTGGAAAAACCAACCGCCCAGTTCATCTGATTTGACCGGTCACAAGAGTGTGCACGTGCGCCTAATCAAGAACTGTAACTATACTGAGCCCACCCAAGCCCAGCCGCAACCACAAACCTGAAGTTCATCATCGAAAAAACGGGGCCGATTCAAACCTTCCGGAGTCAGGCTGCGCAACATCGGGCTGAGGCGGCTAGCTGCGGAGCTGCAGGTGCAGACCATTTTCTGCTTCAGAATTTCAGATCCAGCTAGATGTAAGGCGTGCCCCCAAACGGAGCTGCCCAAAACCCGGAATCCCGAAACGAAGCCCCGAAGTTCTGAAGAACCACCTCTTCGTCTGGCTCTCGTGGCTGCGAGGCATGCCTTGTCTCCTTTGGAACAAACAAACGCTGCTTAAAGCAACCCTGTATGGTCCCCTTCCTCCCAGCATCGCCTGAATCTCAAACCAGCGCCGGCCCCCTGCGCTGGGCCCCCCGGCCCAAACCAGTACTCTGAAGATAAAGCGTCACTTCTTCGAGCTTGGAGCACTGGCTCAAGCCTTCGCCCAGTGCGCGGGCTCCCTCGTCGCCTCAGGACACAAAAGAAGTTGACAAGGGGGGAAGGGAGGGGGATCTTCGGTGGACCTTGGAAAAGGGTCTTGAACGCCAGCTGGTTTCATCGGGGGGGGGGGGGGGGGATGACGTGGGATCAGTTGCGCTCGAGGTAGTCCCAAGCCGCGTGCTCCTAGCAAAAACTGCCCATGATTATCTTTCCACTACATCAGACAATGCGTGCCAAAAGGGGCCGGACGCGCCATGTTGAGTAAACCTGCACATGAGCATGAGGCCTACGCTCGCGACCCAAGCGGCTTGGTCCTGCTGTGCTGTTTCTTACGCCCCTCAGGGGCAAATCGCTCTTTCCTCGAGAAAAGCTGTCAAACTCAGTCCGGCCCTGGAATGAAGCAAGCCTTGGGACCCTTGAGATTTCCAAGCTTTCTGCCTGACCAGTTTGGGCGAAAACGATTCACAAGCACCATGAAGGTGGGAACATTTTGAAGAGCCCAGAACATCCCGGCACTACATCAGCTAATTCATTTCTCAATTTCACAAATCACAGACAGAGCATGCCACAGAAACCCAAACCCCAAAACAAATGTGCGAGACTGGAAAAACCCAACCACTCAAGAGCTCAGGGCGAGTTCATCTGATGGTTATAAGGCGCCCAACGCCGTCCGCTCGCACGGAATCAAGAACATACATAGCTCGAACTGGTCCCCATCCAAGCCCAGTCGCAACCACAGACCCCTGAAATTCAACATCGCAGGCTATGCCATTTTTCACTTTATGATTAAAAAAACTAAAAGCCTCAAGGAAGCGATCTGCCAGCTAAAGGAAGGAGCCGTCAGCTCAAGAGCAAACCGAGATTCTTCAGGGAAGGCGAGGGGGCACAGGGCACAGACGCGTCAAGTGGCCCGGTTCATGGAGCCTTGCAGTATGCGGAGCCTAAGTTTGTGGGCAAAAAGCCTTTTCTTGCACCAAAACACAGCAGTTGTCGGAAGCTGGCTTCGCAGAGTTGGACGGTTAAGCATGTTGGGTCTCCAGGCCCTGGGTTGAACTGGAACAAGAAACCCAAACCCATCAAGGCAACCCATGAATCTATCATATACCCCAAACCACATGGCGCGGAGGCTGCCATCTTCACCGGAACAAAACATCGGCAGATATAGAGCCCCGAGAAACCTCCTTGAAAAGGCCGACCAGCCTCGCGACCCCTGGCACCCATCTGGGAATCCGGGCCAAGCTGTTTGCCGCTGAGGAGGAGGTCCATCTTCCGAAGCTCCGAGAGCTGGCGGAGCCCGCCGGTCAGAGCTCGCGCCCCTTCCGGGCCTCCAGAAAATCACACAGGGTTGTCTGGCGAGGCAAGGGCAAGGGTCATTACCACCGGGGCCTTGCAATGACCAGTTTGTGGAAAAAATCGATTCAAGAACCTTGCTATAGTCATGCAGAGCACATAGCAACATCCCTGCAAGGCATCAGCTAGTCAGTCGGGTTCGCAGGTGACAGACAGATCATGCCGCTGAAGCCCAAACTCACAAACTTGTGCAAAGCTGGAAAAGCCAACCGCCCAGTTCATCTGATTTGACCGGTCACAAGAGTGTGCACGTGCGCCTAATCAAGAGCTGTAACTATACTGAGCCCACCCAAGCCCAGCTTCAACCCGAAACCTGAAGTTCATCATCGGAAAACACGGGGCCGATTCAAACCTTCCGGAGTCAGGCAGCGCAACATCGGGCTGAGGCGGCTAGCTGCGGAGCTGCAGGTGCAGACCATGTTCTGCTTCAGAATTTCAGATCCAGCTAGATGTAAGGCGTGCCCCCAAACGGAGCTGCCCAAAACCCGGAATCCCGGAACGAAGAACCCGAAGTTCTGAAGAACCACCTCTTCGTCTGGCTCTCGTGGCTGCGAGGCATGCCTTTTCTCCTTTGGAAGAGACATGAACAAACGCTGCTTAAAGCAACCCTATATGGCTCCCCCTCCTCGCAGACTCGCAGCATCGCCTGAATCTCAAACCAGCGCCGGCCCCCTGCGCTGGGCCCCCCGGCCGAGGCCAACCGCGTAAAGATGAAGCGTCACCTCTTCGAGCTTGGAGCACTGGCTCAAGCCTTCGCCCACTGCGCGGGCTCCCTCGTCGCCTCAGGACAAAGCAGAAGTTGAAAAGGGGGGGGGGGAGGCAGAGGAGGATCTTCGGTGGACCTTGAGTAAAGGGTCTCGAAGCCAGTTGGTCCCATCGGGGCTTGGGGGATGACATGGGATCACAGTTGTGGTAAACTGCCCATGATTCTCTTTCCAAGACAACACACAGCGCGTGCCAAAAAACACGGATGCACCCACACAAGACCTCAGTGCCTGAACCCTGATGCTGTTGGGGGAGTTGCCTCATGGACATGTTGAAGCGAGTGCCTTGGAGTAAGCCTGCACATGAGCATGAGGCCTACGCTCGCGGCCCAAGCGGCTTGGTGCTGCTGTGCTTTTTCTTACGTCTTTCAGGGGCAAATCGCTCTTTCCTCGAGAAAAGCTGTCAAACGCAGCCCGGCCCTGGAATGCCAGAAACAAACCCTTGGGACCCTTAAAACTTCCAAGCTTTCTGGCTCAGGCTCATGACGGTCTGAGGCTTGCACTGACCAGTTTGGGCGAAAACGATTCACAAGCACCATGAAGGTGGGAACATTTTGAAGAGCCCAGAACATCCCGGCACTGCATCAGCTAATTCATTTGTCGGTTTCAAAGGTCACAGACAGAGCATGCCACCAGAAACCCAAACCCCAAAACAGATGTGCGACTGGAAAAACCCAACCGCTCAAGAGCTCAGCGCGAGTTCATCTGATTGTCATAAGGCGCGCAACGCCGTCCGCACGCACGGAGTCAAGAACATAAATCGCTCGAACTGATCCCCATCCAAGCCCAGTCGCAACCGCAGACCCCTGAAATTCAACATCGCAGGCTATGCCATTTTTCACTTTATGATTATAAAAAAAACTAAAAGCCTCAAAGAAGCGATCTGCCAGCTAAAGGAAGGAGCCATCACTCAAAGCGATCTGCCAGCTAAAGGAAGGAGCCATCAGCTCAAGAGCAAAGCGAGATTCTTCAGGGAAGGCGAGGGGGGGGCACAGACGCGTCAAGTGGCCCGGTTCATGGAGCCTTGCAGTATGCGGAGTCTAAGTTTGTGGGCAAAAACCTTTTTCTTGCACCAAAAAACAGGAGTTGCCGGAAGCTGGCTTCGCAGAGTTGGACGGTTAAGCATGTTGGGTCTCCAGGCCCTGGGTTGAACTGGAACAGCAAACCCAAACCCATCAAGGCAACCCATGAATCTATCAGATATCCCAAGCCACATGGCGCGGAGGCTGCCATCTTGATGCCGAAGTCACCAGAAACAAAACATCGGCAGATATAGAGCAGAAACCTCCTTGAAAAGGCCGACCAGCCTCGCGACCCCTGGCACCCATCTGGGAATCCGGGCCAAGCTGGTTGCTGTCGAGGCCAAGGACCATCTTCCGAAGCTCCGAGAGCTGGCGGAGCCCGCCGGCCAGAGCTCGCGCCCCTTCCGGGCCTCCAGAAAATCACACAGGGTTGTCTGGCGAGGCAAGGGCAAGGGTCATTACCACCGGGGCCTTGCAATGACCAGTTTGTGGAAAAAATCGATTCACGAGCCTTGCTATAGTCATGCAGAGCACATAGCAACATCCCTGCAAGGCATCAGCTAGTCAGTCGGGTTCGCAGGTGACAGACAGATCATGCCGCTGAAGCCCAAACTCACAAACTTGTGCAAAGCTGGAAAAGCCAACCGCCCAGTTCATCTGATTTGACCGGTCACAAGAGAATGCACGTGCGCCTAATCAAGAACTGTAACTATACTGAGCCCACCCAAGCCCAGCCGCAACCAGAAACCTGAAGTTCACCATCGAAAAAACGGGGCCGATTCAAATCTTCCGAAGTCAGGCTGCGCAACATCGGGCTGAGGCGGCTAGCTGCGGAGCTGCAGGTGCAGACCATTTTCTGCTTCAGAAGTTCAGATCCAGCTAGATGTAAGGCGTGCCCCCAAACGGAGCTGCCCAAAACCCGGAATCCCGAAACGAAGCCCCGAAGTTCTGAAGAACCACCTCTTCGTCTGGCTCTCGTGGCTGCGAGGCATGCCTTTTCTCCTTTGGAACAGACATGAACAAACGCTGCTTAAAGTAACCCTTTATGGCTCCCCCTCCAAACTCCCGGGCTGCTGCGAAATCGCGGCATCGCCTGAAGGCGCCTGAATCTCAAACCAGCGCCGGACCCCTGCGCTTGGCCTCCCGGCCGTTCCCAGTAAGCTGAAGATCAAGCGTCACTTCTTCGAGCTTGGAGCACTGGCTCAAGCCTTCGCCCACTGCGCGGGCTCCCTCGTCGCCTCAGGACACAAAATAAGTTGACAAGGGTGGAAGCGGAGGGGGATCTTCGGTGGACCTTGGAAAAGGGTCTCGAAAGCCATATGAGTCTCATCGGGGCTTGGGGGGGAATTATCTTTCCACTGCACCAGACAATGCGTGCCAAAAGGGCGGGCGCGCCATGTTGAGTAAACCTGCACATGCGCATGAGACCTACGCTCGCGGCCCAAGCGGCTTGGTGCTGCTGTTTTCTTACGGTTCTCAGGGGCAAATCGCTCTTTCCTCGAGACAAGCTGTCAAACTCAGTCGGGCCCTGGAATGAAACAAACCTTGGGACCCTTGAAACTTCCAAGCTTTCTGCCTGACCAGTTTGGGCGAAAACGATTCACAACACCATCAAGGTGGGAACATTTTGAAGAGCCCAGAACATCCCGGCACTACATCAGCTAGTTCATTTGTCGGTTTCACAGGTCACAGACAGAGCATGCCACAGAAACCCAAACCCCAAAACAAATGTGCGATACAAGAAAAACCCAACCGCTCAAGAGCTCAGCGCGAGTTCATCTGATTGTTATAAGGCGCGCAACGCCGTCCGCGCGCACGGAGTCAAGAACATAAATAGCTCGAACTGATCCCCATCCAAGCCCAATCGCAACCGCAGACCCCTGAAATTCAACATCGCAGGCTATGCCTTCTTTCACTTCATGGTTTAAAAAATTTAAAAGCCTCAAGGAAGCGATCTGCCAGCTAAAGGAAGGAGCCATCAGCTCAAGAGCAAAACGAGATTCTTCAGGGAAGGCGGGGGGGGCACAGACGCGTCAAGTGGGCCGGTTCATGGAGCCTTGCAGTATGCGGAGTCTAAGTTTGTGGGCAAAAAGCCTTTTTCTTGCAGCACAAGAACAGGAGTTGTCGGAAGCTGGCTTCGCAGAGTTCGGACGGTTGCGCATGTTGGGTCTCCAGGCCCTGGGTTGAACTGGAACAACAAACCCAGACCCATCAAGGCAACCCATGAATCTATCATATACCCCAAGCCACATGGCGCGGATGCCATCTTGCAGCCGAAGTCACCAGAAACAAAACATCGGCAGATATAGAGCAGAAACCTCCTTGAAAAGGCCGACCAGCCTCGCGACCCCTGGCACCCATCTGGGAATCCGGGCCAAGCGGGTTGCCTCTGAGGTCAAGGTCCATCTTCCGAAGCTCCGAGAGCTGGCGGAGCCCGCCGGCCAGGGCTTGCGCCCCTTCCCGGCCTCTCCAGAAAATCAAAAAAGGTTGTGGTTGTGAATTGTGCGATCTGATGGCGAGGCAGGCCTACGGAAACTCAAACCTTGAGGGAAGTGTCCCCTGGAAAAAAGCCAAACAGCTGGCACTACTCCTTCTGCAAGTGACCCCTCCCTCCGCCCCCCAAGCACAAAGGAAGTGTGGCCTCTCCTCAAACGCCAGGTCACGAGTGCGTGGAATCACAAAACAGAGAGCTAGGTGCACCCCAATATCTATCGAAACCCGTCAGAAATCCAAACCCCTGTGCAACTGCACCCCTTGCAGCTTCATCCCCAGATCGAAGGAAATTGTTGCTTGTTGTTCTCTTCGGCTTCTGTATCGTGCGTTTGTAGGGGTGGACCTGGAACTAAGATGCCCTCTGAGTCCCTGCAACGACCCTGTGCCTGTCGTAATGCTTGACAGGGTTCAGGTCGGTACTCAGCTCTCCCTTCTTCCTTGGCCCCCCGACCGATGCCGTTGTTCGCCAAGCCCAGGACCAGCTCGCGGAGGCCGGCGAGGCGCCCGAGCGCCGAGGCCAGGCCTTTGGCGCCGGCGTCGCCTGCGCTTTTGCAGCCCCTCCCCCAAAAAGCAAGCTCTCCCGCAGCGGCTCAGTGCGCGACCGATGCCCAAACCACCGCTGTCGGGCAGCCGAAGCCGCAGCGTCTCGAGGCCGCCGAGGAGTCCTGCGCTGGGGTCCCCAAACACAGAAACGCACACCACGGAAGGCGCAGGCGCAGGAATCATAAGTGAATGGAAAATGTGCCAAGGTAAACCGGGCAGAAGCTCCTTCGAAGCTCTCTGCGTCCGCGGGCGCCAGCCGATCATCCAAGTCGAGGTCGAGCGAAGTCGCGTGCTCCGTCGCCAGCATCAGCCGGAAGCGCAGGGCGCCTCGCGCAAGCAGCGGAGGACGGGGGGGGGGGGGATTGGGGGGGAGTCGGAGAAGGGTCCCGCTCGCCTCGCAGCATCGGCTGCTGCGACGCCTCTCGGAAGGCCGATTTCAAATCCACCTCGGACCGCAAACGGACAAACAGCTCTCAGCAATGAGCTGCCTGACCAACGAACAACTTACAAATGTTGATTCGGTATCTCACTAAAAGTTGCGCGAGACCTGTGCAAAATGAAGAATTTTTATAAGGCTCGCCCAGTTGTTTCGTTTGCCAAATCATCGGCTGACTCCAAAGCTGCTGGTGGCATTGTAGGATGTCATAGGTATCTTGCATTCTTTGAACAATGTCATGTTTATTTGCCGCCATTCAAGAACATCTAGCCCGGACCCAGATTCTGAGAAGCCCCCTTCCCACCGCGGCCAGGACCGGGCAGAAAAGGACAAACACGCAATCATGTAGCTCCAACAACATATCCCGCATCACTCCGCTGACATGCGACCTCCCAATGACCTGCAAGCTCGGAATCGGCTTCAATGGAACCGCTTGCCAGGTCATTCGCGCCAACTTTGGCTGTTGACCTTGGCCTTGTGGAAAAACTCAGCATGCTTTGCCCCACTGGCGTCGTGCTTAGAGACTTCCATGGGGCAATTTGAAAAGTGTGGGGCTTTGCGATGTTCGGCTTCGGGGTTGAGCAGCTTTTGAGCTCGCAGGGGTTGTGGTGTCAGGGTATTGGTTTGTCGGAGTTCATGTACGGGGGTTGTGTTTTTGAAGGCTTCATGTCATATAATTAAGGCTTACATTACAACTTGGGGGGCAGCGGCAGAACTTTAAACAAATTACAAAGTTCTTTCCTGCACACTTGCCCGATATAGTTCATCGCTGTCCCGAAGTTTGGATCTAGGCTGCAGGCTTCTTCTTTCGACGCTTGCCAGGCCTGGAAAAGCAGTGGCCCCTGCAACGTCACCCCCGCAACGCAGTTCTCAGGCCTCCGCGGCCAGGAACTCGTGCATCCTCAGGTGGTAGATCTGGACCTGGCCGGTAATCGGCTTTTCCGATCTATAGGAAGACGCTTGGCAGTATAGAGATCGGCGCTAGGTGGGTGCATGGCGGTTGCAAGCGGTGGCGGCGCGCCGCGGAGCGGCCAGCCACCGGCTCGAAGAAGTTCAGGTGGCCGCGCAAGGCCTCCTGGAAGACCACCTGCCGCCGTTTGTTATGGTCACAGCCTAGCCTATAGCCAAAAGCTTCCGGAATTTTACAGCATGCCGACGCGACATGTACAGGAGAATTCGAGACTTCACTCGATTGGCTTTGATAGTCGAACTGCCAATGCACCAGGCGATGGCTGCGTTGTGCAGTGGTCAGGAATGATATACCGTAAGCCATGCTGTCGAAAAGCTGTAATCGCATGTGAAAAGGTGCTCGCACTGCGTACGCAGACTTGCGCAGACCCTGGCACGCTGCAGCGCCTCAGAGCTCAAGCCGAGAAGTGGGGGATAGTGGGGGCCTCCACCGGAAAGTCGGCCTCCGCCAGAAGCCGCTGGCCATTCTGGAGGGCATAAAATATGAAAAGCATTTGGTGCTGGGCAACCGCCGCGCAAGGAACTGGGCACCTGCAGCTTGCGGAGGCACAGGGGGCCCATCAGCGAGCGAAGCCCCGTGGTGCCGGCGCGGACTTCGGCCTGAGACGCGCGCGCAAAAACGAACCGAAACACCAAGACATTTCGTATAGAGTTCTCAGGAGTCAGGAGAGCCTGCTGCAAGAGCTTGTCGACGGAGTAGCGCATCAACGTCAGCTCGGCTGTAGCGCCGAGATCCTGCCCGAAAGCGGCTGCCACGTCTTATCCTCAAAGAAGGGCCAAGAAGCTCAACGAAAAACACGATCTTGCCGCAAGCTTGCCTGGTACTCTCGCTCCTCCCGGAACTTGCCTAAGCTGTGTCGTTTGGAGGCGCAAGAATATCTGTGTGTATCTCTATAGCAGCTAGTTACAGCGCGAGGTGTCCTGCACTATGCCGACCTGAGGCGGCAGCCCAGGATGTTGGCCATCAGCGGCGTGCGCCACACCTTGCAAGCGAGAATCCCAGAAGCAACAAACGTACCGGACGACTGCATGACATCTGAGACATCAATACGACAGCTTTCTTTCGGCGTGGCGCGGCTTCGGGCAAAGTGTCCAGCTCTGCCTCCGAGAATTTTGAGATCCTGGGCAGGCTCGTTTAAGCGTTGAATGTTGGGCGGACTTTTAGAGGTGCGTAACCCTCTTCACATTCAAAGTTTAACCCTGCTGTTGTAACGTGTAGAAGTCTTAGAACTTATCTCAACTTCTTATCTGTTCTATGCCTGTAAACCCTAGCCACTAGCCCTGTTACCAACCCCCTAGTGCCCGCTGAACTTCCAATACCCTTGCTAAACTCCATCCGTGCATCTTTGGGTTCCCGTAAGCCTTACAGCCCAAAAACGCCCCAAAGTGCGGAAGCTCTTTTCCCAGACCCCCTTAACCCTCGCACTTCGGTCGGTTAGGGGGTTGGGCGGGTTGATGTGTGGCGGCGGGCCCGAAACACCTGCTCGGATCCAGAGCTTGGGTCAAACCTGACGAGTTCCGGATCCCACGAGGTGACTTTGGTGGCCATGTTTCTGGGTTGTGGCGGTTTGGGAAGTCCACGAAGGTCGGACCATGCCACAATTTCTTTATTTTTCGATTCGGGCTCGGCAAGTGGCTGGGTCGGCCATGTCTTGGGTTTCGGTGGTTTAAGGGGGGCGGTGTAGGGAAGGGAACCTGGACCCGGAATCCTAGCTCCCGGATCTCGAACTCTGCACTCCAAAACCACGACCTCGTAGGTCCCTAATTGAAACGTAATGCGAAATAAGCCGGTCATTGTGAGTGGCGGGGTTCAGAGCCTGCCGGCCTTGCCCCCCAACCCTGTAATGCTGTTGCCTTTGCGGCATCTGGTTGCTAGCCTCGTGATAACAGTGTAAGAAGTCCTTAGCGTTGGCTGAAAACTTTCTTATCACTAACTTTTCAGGCTAATTGCCTGCAACTACCCTAAACCCCTATTATCTACCATCCCCCTGCCCTCATCTGCGGATGTCGTGGCCTGGCGGCGGCTGCCGGCCGCAGCGCCAGCAGCTCCAGCGGAAGGAACTGCAGCCTGCGGTGTGCTGGTGCATTGCCCAATTGCATCTGTAGTGACCACGGCGCGTTGAGGCTGCGGCCAGGCAGAAACCTCCGCTTGGAGGCTCAGCTCCACCATCCGTGCCGGTTGCTGCTCCACAGCCTGCTCCAGGAACACGCCGCAGCAGCCTGGTGCTGGCGCATGGGTGCTCCTTCTCGTAACACGTGACAATGGCGGTTTGGTCTTGCGAGCCGAGCGTCGCTCCGTCGGGTCCAGGCAGATTTCCTGGCTCCCCAGTCGGACGACGTCGCCTGCAAAGAGACCGCAGCAGAGCATCACAATCAGAGGGCCAGCATCTCCACGAACACTCTCTTTCTTTCTCTCTCTCTCTCTCTCTCTCTCTCTCTCTCTCTCTCTCTCTCTCTCTCTCTCTCTCTCTCTCTCTCTCTCTCTGCAGTCCACATAAGCGGAAAAGGGTCTGCAGGCAGGCAGCCCACACCCACACCGCCAGTGAGGAAGACGGCGCCATCTGCCTGCTGCAGCGTCCTGAGAGGAAGCAAGCAAAAATAAGCAGCCCTGGAGCACCCTGGATCCTCAGAATCTTCTGAAGGAGTTGCCTGCGCGTGGCCTAAATATAAGTCTCCGGCACCTCCGCACGGCCAAGCTCCCCTACGCCGCTCGACTGCACGTAGAAGATGCGCACGGGCCATACCCACTTGTCGATTCCAACACCCTCAGACTTTCCACGCTCATCCTGGCACGGTTGGGCACATCGGCATGCAGCAAAGGTTGTTTTTTTTTCCTGTCTGGTGGCAGCTACTGTATATAGTACAAGGTATTCGAAAGCAGCACGGGTCCTGGCATCGTCGACCAGTGCCATCGACAACGACCAGCTTCTTTTTCTTGGCTGGGTCGCCCCCCGCGTCGAGGAGCGCCTGGTCCAGCAGCAGCAAGGCGCGCGGAGCATCGTCCTGCTTGATGAGGACGGTCGCCGAGAAGATGGTGCGCGGGTCCTGCCACCCGGCCCTCTGGCAGCCCGTCATCCCTGCAGCAAGTACCACATGCGGCGGTCCTTGCGCCGCACCGGTACCTCATGGGTTCCCGGCCCAAGGTCCAGGCCCTCCACTCGCAGGAGGAAGCCCTGCAAGGTTGGACGGCTCGAATTGAACTCTCATCTTAGATTGCTCTTACAAAACTAGTTCCAGCATCCCTCCCGGCCTCCTCGCTTGTGACCACTTTGTTGATGGCTGGACTGCCCGGGCCGTCCGACAGCTGCACGTGGCACCCGGGCGGGAAGACGTCCTTGCAGCAACTTGAACCATGCAGCCTACGACCTGCGAAACTTATTCATTGTGAAACTGCATTCGAAGCACTTTGGCTTTACATGAGTCCTGCTGCAACTTGCTGCCCCCACCTTCCCTCCACGAACTACCTGTCCTGTGTCAGGAGGTACCTCTCCGACAGCTTTCCCAGCACTGGCGAGGGCACCGGCTCACGGGCCTCTCCCGAGGCGTCCAGGACCCTTTGGTCAAAAGCTTTACACGCCCATGATGAGATAAACCAAACCACACAAAGCAGCAGCGGAGCTTCTGGGAGGCCGGCTGGCTGGTGCCCGAAGGGCGGCTGGTGAGCACCACGCAGGCACAGCGATGAAGGTTCTCCCTGGGCCGCGATATGGCACAAACGACGTTCAACAACTTGTAAAGAGCTGGCAAGATTCCGACTGCATGAGATTCTTGGCGGAAGCAGCTGAAGCATGCCGAAGCTGCGCAAGCTCTGCTGCATTCTGCTGTTCGCCGAGGGGCCGCAGCCAGGTCTGGAGCCAGTCCAGGATGCGGCGCCGGGCCTTGCCGGCCTCGTCGAAGCCGTCTAGCACCAAGACCAGCCGCCGGTCGCCTCCCGGAAACAGCAGAAAAACGAGCTCGGAACCCAACCCACAAAACTGTTCTAGGAATGCATAGGGGCCTCGGTCCAGCTCCCGGCTGTCCGGGCCGAAGGCGCGCTTCGCCCAGCGCTGCAGCCTTTGCTTGCTTAGTGGCGACGCCCGAACGACCCGACTTTGAACCCAAACCCTAAACCCGAAACCCCAAACTAAGCCACTAGGCTAGGGCTATCTAGGGTACTTAAGTACGCGTGGAACACCCTAGGGGGAAACAAAGGAGGGGGAACCCCACTGGGATCAACCCCGGCCGCGACCCTTAACTTTAAGCTAAAGGGCATCTAGCGGGCCTTTTTACCTTCAGCCAAAGTGTAGCATCGAAAGTGAATTCCTACTCTCTGGGGCCTCTAACTAAAGAGCCTCTGCCTACGGTCCTAAGGGGCCTCTGGAGCCCTGATTTCTTGACTAGGGTCGGTTCAGAGGAACCGAAGGCATCTATGTACATCACCCTGTGCTTGTGAGGGTGCTCTGCCCACGGGAAGCTTACTGCCTCCAGACAAGGGCGCTAAGAGCAGCCCCCACTGCACATGGCTTCTGCGGGTGTTACGTTATGAGTTGAGAAAGCAAAGGCAGGCAGCGCTCAAAGCAGCTAGCCTTTAGCCTTGGTAGTCTTAGGAGCAGAACCAGGCTTGGCTTGAAGATCCCGTATGTCCGTAAGCTCGACTGGAAGCTTTTGGCGCATGCCAAGGAGCTTGAGGGCATTGTCCCATTTTTGGGGAGGAAGAGCCTTAGTGAATATGTCGGCCGCTTGCCAGGTGGTTTCGACATAAGTGAGCTCTACATCTTCCTCACTTAGCTGCTCGGCAATGCTACCCAGGTTGACCTTATGAGTGCGCTGGATATGCCGGAGCTTGGGAGAGTAACCCTTTCGGGCTACGAGGATCGTGGCCTGGTTGTCCTCATGAATGACCAGCTTCACCTCATGGCCTAGCAGGGTCTGCCAAAGCTGTAAGGCCGGAAGGCCCTCTTGAAACAACGAATGTGCGAGGGACACAATCTCTGACTCCGTGGTAGAGCGAGATGTGGAGGTTTGTCTCTTGCAGACCCAGGCTAGAGGGAAGAACGTTTTAGGACCCTTTAAGACGAGGTAACCGCCCGACGTTGACTTGGAGTCTATCTTTTCTCCTGCGAAGTCCGCGTCAACATAGAGCGCAAGATGCAGCTCCCTTGGGCCGTCACCAACTGAGCCAACCAACCGGTGGGACTTGGTCGAGTTGATATAACAGATAAGGCGATGGAGTTGCTTATCGTTATTCCTTGACCAAGATTGGACACGCGTGGCTAAGTCCCCAATGGGCTTGACTATGTCGGGGCGAGCCAGTCTGCCCAGCCACAAGGCTTTCATAAGGAGTTTGCATGCATTGGGAGCAAGCTCTCCTGAGATGTCGTCATCACATGAAGTGAGCGCGCCATCTGGGCAGAATGGGGTCTGAGCAGCCTTTAGAGTTTTAGACCCGGTGATGCTTAGGTAGAGATCCACCGTTTACTGTGCGTAGTCATACATGTCAAAAGCCATAGCCCCTTTTAACGCGCCTAGGGCAGCGTTCTCGGTGCTCTCTGCTGATGCATTAATGACGTAGTGGTTCCTGCCTAAAACCCTAAAGACTGGTTCTGGCGGTTCGACATCAACCAATGCGCAAAGTTTGTCCCAAAAAGGTTGGTGGTTTTCTGCGGGTCCGGACAAAGTGAGATCGTCAACGTAAGTGGAGAGAAGGAGCTGGGTTTCGGGGAACCAAAAGTTCCCTGAATACTCTTGCAATTCGTACCCCCCTAAACCACCTAAGACTTCCTTAAGGTGTTGCTCCCACAGTCCTCCAGCTTCCGGATGGCCATACAGAGCGCGCAGCAACAGCACAACAGGACGAACAAAGCACTCTCGCCACCAGGACGGTCGGAGTTCAGGTGGCAGTTCTATCCATGTTTGGAACTTGGACTTTAGCAGTGCTTGCACGTACGCCTTTACTGCGTCTGCTGCTGTTGTGGTATGGCCTGGTAGTGCGCCATAAGCCATGCAGGCGTTGAGGCCCTGCACGGAAGTGGGATTAGCACCCAACTCCCTGTAGACTGCGGCAGCACCCTCTTCATCTTTTGCACAGTCACCCCGATACACTATCCGGCCCTTCATTTTCTGAAGGTGTTGGGCCAATTCGTAGAATTTGATAGAGGCGATGCTCATCAATTTCCCGAAGTGTACCTTGGTGCCTGTGCGCCGCGCCTCTGCTTGCACATCGGCGAACTCACGTGGGTTCTGCTCATCCCACACGGGAACAGCCCGTAGACCGTCCGCCTCCTTTCGCACGGCCTCTAAGGCCTGAGGCGAGGACAGCATCTCTGCACGAGAGAGTAACTTAGTTACCATGGCTGAGACCTCTGGGTCGGTCTTACCCTTTGGGAGCCCATGAAGATGGCACATGAGAGCGTTGAGATCCGTGATCTCAGTGACGAGTTCCCTTGCAGTTTCGTCTGTTTCGATGACTGCCGCGAGGTCGTCAAGACCAGAGAGAGAAGACACATGTTTGAGGTCTTGCTCTCGATCTCTGTGCTCTTCTTGTGGCTGCACAGGTATCACAGGCATTGCAGGAACAACCCTATGGGACACCTTTGGGTTCATGGCTCGGGCTATGAGTTCACACATTTCTTGCGTGTAAAAGCCGGTGCGCTCGAGAGCAGCACCCCTGGCTTCCCCGTGTTCTTTGGGATGGTGAGTGCAGTTAAGGCCGGTGAATGCTTTGACGATCTCATCAGATGTGGTCATAAGCCGCCAGGGCTTTCTCACAGGGAGACCCTTCTTGCCGACTACACCTAACCTACAACCATCAAAATCAACCGCCTGAAATCGTGAGTCTTGAAAGAACTCCTTGACGTCTGATCGCTTCCACGAATCTGAATAGCGGGGCCACTCAAATGTAACATGAATTACCCGATCAAGAACAGTCTTGGCATGTTCCTTGAACTGTGCAAACAGCTGGCGAGATATGCGAATCTTTTTGGACAGACGTGCAGCATAATCAGAACCATGCAGCTTCAATCCTATACGATGCCAGGAGCATCCTGACGTACATGGGAGGGAAGCCCACAAGTGGGGATCATGGCAAGACCGTAGCTGCACATGAAGTTGCTCTGAGATGATGGGATCTGTCACGTCTAAGGCTTCTTTTGAAAGACGGACATGTGGAACCCCTAGTTCTTTATGGACCCTACCTAACATAGAGTCTTCAGAACATGCATACTCAAAGCAAGTAGCAAGCTTGGTGTTTGTCTTTGCGCGCCTACGGCTGCGCCTGTTGGTGCCTTTTCCGAACCTAGGAACAGGTGCAGGCATACCGAAAACAGGCAAACCCTGCTTGTAGCCAGACAACTCTATGAGAGGGGTCTGTGTGGCTGTGCACGGAGGGATTGCGGCGCCAGAAGTTGTCACAACGACGGGTGAAGCAGCTGAGGCCGGAGCGGAAGGCTCCGAAGGACCTAGTTCTTTGTCGCCCTCTATGAGCGCCTCATCATGAGCGGCTCGCTCAATTGCTGAGTCGGCTTTTGGAGGCAGCAGTCTGGCGGCTTTCCTGGCTTCTTTCTCGTCTTTTTCAGCGGAGACAAGTGAAGCAAAGCGCTCACGACACTCGTCTGTGTGCTTAACGGCTCTACCACGACATGCTTTGCATCCCGGAGTTTCCCCGAACCTTATGATTCTCTCTACTGTGATGTATACCCCCTTGGCCTTTGTGTCCCGTAACGGAGGAGGGACTGGGTCCTTACTGGGTGGAAAGGGCACCTCACGTAGAGAGTACTCGGGTAGTGCGCTTTTGGCAGCAGCACCCTCCAGGACCGAGCCGTCTACTAGAGACTTACGAGTTGCATTTGCTACAGGGAAGATGGGAGGACCATCCTCGATGAAGAGCTCGGGCTCTGGCACGTCATGGATTTGCACATCCCTCTTATTGCGAAAAGCTTGGTAGTCTAAGACCTTAACCACGTTCCTATATCGCATGCCTGCATCAATGCGCCATCCAAGGAACAGCGCAGGAGACATATTGGGTTCGAGCGTGAGCTTGGAGAGTTTCGTTCTGTACCAGACAAGCTGGCCGAAACACGCCCTGACCCCTGGAAACGGCTCCTTTGTAAGAGCCTCCCATTGAGACTTGCCTTCTCCCTGATTCGATTCCCTGTCAAAAGAGAGCGAAAGACACGAGTAAGGATAGGAGTGTGAGTGGAAGTCGTAGGGCAAACCACTCTGCAGGTGTACTGCGCGGCAGCACTCCTTTTCTTCCCTTACATCGCGCTCCAGGCTGGCGTTGTGGGGCCACCTGTTGGGCAGGGAGGTGTCCGGGGTCAGGCCTACCTCCTCGGCTGCGACTTTGAGCTCGCCCGCCTCGTCCATTTTGATAAGGCATGTGGGAGACAATTCAGATGCTTTGAGTCCCATAAAATGTCTGAAATTGCGCGCATGTTGCTGCGCACCCCTTCGTGACATGGGATAGGCAACCCTTGCACCAGAATACACATCCCGAATGACATGGTGAGACTTAACACCCCCAGTACCTATACCCCTATGATCATCTCCCTTTGCAAGGATGACGTCATCTGTTGCAAGTTGCTGGAACGGGGCAGTCGGGACATCAATCATGTCATCTGCCTTAGAATCCGGCTTGCGTGCGACCCTCATGGAGGTGGTTTTTGCAATGTGGCAAACTTTACAAAACGGATTCTTAGGGAAGTGCGTGCGTAGGTGCTTCTCTGAAGTGGCTTCGGCCTTCAGCACCTCCTCCCTTGATGGTTCTGGAGGGCCTTCGGGAGCTGATTCCCCGGAGGGTTCGGCGATCGAGTCTTCCCCCCCATCAGCTGGGGCGCGAGGCGCTGCCCCCTCGACATCGAAGGATAGTTCCTTGTTTGCTTGTTCGAGAAGAGCATCGGCCGTCAAAGGATCATTCATCTCTTTTTCCGAGATGAGTGGCGACATTTCTTCGGCAGCTGACTCACCTTCAGCGCCTTCGCCAAAAAGCTCCTTCTGGGCACGTTCAGCGATGGCATGGGCTTCGACGATTTCGGCTTCCTCGCCACTGTCCCCGAGCTCTGTCGGCTCGTACGCGT